TCATGGACTCTCTTGGCTTCCCAAATAACTGGGTTTGGAGGCCTATACTTGCTCTTCTCGGGTTCGCCATCGCCTTCTATGTTGGAGCGGGAGTTTTGCTCAAGTTCTGGAACGCCGAGATCGCCATGGCTCGTGCCAGGCCGTCAAACATGGACGCCTCTGCTGGCAAAGAAAAGATGAGCGAGCGTGTGGCAGATAATGTCCGGACGATCGACATCCGTTTAGAGGGCTATGGAATGGACGTGGAGAAACGGTCACTACGGAAGCGCTGGACCAAGAATATCATCAAGCCTCTTACCGCCGACTTCTTCCCTGGATCGCTGAACGTCATCATGGGACCTTCGGGCAGCGGGAAGACTTCTCTGCTAAACAGCATGGCGATGAGACTCAAAGACGACACATCCACGCGGTACAAGCAGTACGGTACCATGAGCTACAACGGCCTCATCCCGGCTAAAGAGGTCGTCCACTCTATCTGTTCTTTCGTCACCCAGGATGATGACGCACTGTTGGCGTCACTAACAGTGCGCGAGACGCTTCGTTATGCAGCTGGTTTACGACTTCCGAAGTGGATGTCGAAAGAGCAGAAAATCCAGAAAGCCGAGGAGATCTTGCTGAAGATGGGTCTCAAAGACTGCGCAGACAACCTCATCGGTAACGACCTCGTGAAAGGCATCAGTGGTGGTGAAAAACGTCGAGTCACTATCGCAGTCCAAGTTTTGACGGAACCACGCGTACTGTTGCTTGATGAACCGCTGTCTGGATTGGATGCATTCACGGCACTGTCAATCGTGGACGTACTTCGTGGTCTAGCACAAGAAGGTCGCACACTCATCGTCACTATCCACCAACCTCGCAGCGACCTCTTCGCGCATTTCGGTAACATCCTGCTCTTGGCCCGTGGCGGACACCCTATCTATGCCGGTCCTGCCGACAATATGTTGGGCCATTTTGCCAACCTAGGCTACGAATGTCCTCGCCACGTCAACCCAGCGGATTTTGCTCTCGATTTGATCACTGTTGACCTTCAGCATGAGAGACGTGAGGCCGCCAGTCGGAAGAAGGTACGCAAGTTGGTCGAGTCGTGGAACGCTGATGTCTACCCTGTCGCTCGAACTGGGTCAATAACTACGCCGGCTGAGCTGGGAAGCATGGCACGAGAACCATCGTCTTTCGCTGCAGCATACTCAATCTTGATTCGGCGTGCGACGAAGAATATGTTCCGGCAGCCGGATATGCTGATCGCGCGCGTCATGCAAGTTGTCGGATTGGGTATCGTGCTTGCGCTCTACTTCGCACCGTTGAAGACCGACTACGAATACGTGCAAAACAGGATGGGATTCCTTGTGGAGATCGCTCCGCTCTACTTCGTCGGCAGTATGTAACCCTCACCTTCATCTCTTTTTACTATGCTAACCCCCATCAGTGCTGAACAACATCGCCGTCTACCCAATCGAGCGAGATGTGTTCTACCGCGACTACGACGACCGTATCTACGGCGTCGAAGCCTTCTTCCTGACCTACATCTCTATAACCACGCCCTTCGAAATCATAAGCTGTCTCGTCTTCTCCGTCCTCGCCGTGTTCGCTGTTGGTCTAGAACGCAACGCGCAAACGTACTTCATCATCACATTCAACGCCTTCTGCATCACCAGCTGCGGCGAGAGTCTCGGTATCGCTTTCAACACGCTCTTCACCCACACTGGCTTCTCGGTAAACTGCATGTCGGTTTTCCTGAGTGTTGCGCAGGTCATGGGTGGTGTGTTGTCGCTCGATGTTCCGGACTTTTTGCAGGCATGGAACCATCTTTCGCCTGTGAAGTGGGCTGTTGGCAATATGGCGCCGTATACGCTACGTGGTCTGGAGTTTACGTGTGAAGAGTGGCAGAAGGTGAATGGGCAGTGTCCTATTCAAACTGGAGAACAGGTGTTGGACTTGTACAAACTGAACAAGAACCCGGAGATGAACCTCATGGCTCTGGGAATTTGCGCTATCGTTTATCGGTTCCTCGCCTATGTGGTTCTGAAGATGGTCAAGGAGCGCTGGATAAATAAGCTGTGGAGGAAGTTGGGCGGTGGGAAGAAGAAGCCGACAAGCCAGGCACCGCAGTCAGGATAGCTGGCCTGCGTCTATGCATTATGACATTAGGAAGCGGCTCGAATTGATGCATCAAAATTCATGAATACCTTTATACACCGTTTACTCATTCGTCGTTGAAGATAGCTAAAGTGATGCAGTATCATCATCATCCAGTAACAAGAAATAGACCCAGCGCCTACCATGCATGCAGAAAACACCAGGCCATCATAAGACGTAATCCGTGCCAGCAGCGAGAAATGCCAAGAACCGCCGAGTTCAGAAGACTTCTTCGACACAATACAAAACATCCAGCCAGCGTCTAGAGACGGTGGCCCCAAAGATGAAGGCTGTTACCGTTCCCCCTGTTCCTCGTATTGTCCCAACCAGCATCCTTCATGGTCAAAACCCTAGAAACAGCATCGTTATACTTGAAAGTCTGACCCTTCTCCCACAAACCGTTACCCAACTCAATACACTCCGTAACCGCACAGTGCTCCAACTCATCTTCAGGAGTACCACCGTTGCAAATCTGGATGAGGCGGTTGAGACCGGTAGTACTAGCCGCAGCGAGCGGTTCCAGAGGCAGTTGCGAGCCAGGAGAAAGCCAAGGGCAGAGATTGCCTGTGATGCGGTAGAAGATGGTGTGTTCGGCGGACTCGACGAGCATGACTCCCGGGGGGATGCCGCCAGCGATCTGGCCGACATCTTGCTGCGCAGGCTGGTTTGGGTGTCCGTGATTTCCGTCATGGAACATGGGCGCGGGACGGAAGTGCTGGGCGCCTGCCATACCAGGAGCCATCATACCAGGCATCATACCACCGCCCATCATCATACCAGGCATGACTCCACCAACAACTCCACCCATAGCAGGTACGTTACCAAAAGCGAGACCGCCTCCCGCCCACAGCGGCGCGGCAGGGGCAAAAGGAGGAACTACTCCAGCGATAGCGCCTGGAGGCGGCGGTGGGAAAGGTACACCGCCCGCATGCAGACCAAAGCCTATACCGTGATGAGCACCTGGAAGAAAGTTGCCCGCGCGGATAGGAGCAAGTGGACCGCCAGCAGGCCCCATGTATCCGCCCATCATGCCGCCCATCATAAAGGGGTCCATGACGCCGACAGGTGGGAAGACGGGTGGGAACGCACCTATACCGACACCACCGAATGGTGGAGGGATGCCGTATGCTGGTCCGCCGATGCCAATGCCGAGGGGAGGGCCGTAGACAGGGGCGTGTTGCTGTTCTACGACGACTTGAGCGCCACCTGCGGGTGCGCCGGGTTGATGAGCTGGAGGTGCAGGACCAGCGTTATAGGGAGGAGGTGGTGGTTCGCGGTTGATGTTGGGGTTGTTACCGACGTTGGCGAGCCAGGGTTGACCTACGGGAGGGCCAGCAGCCATCAGTGAGCAAGACTAATTCGTGAAATAGAAAGTGGAGGGTGGCAGCTGGTGTCAGAAAGAGCTGGCAGACGTGATGGCTCTGATTTGAGACACCTAAGAGATATAGCAACAGAGAGAGGAAGCGAGAGGATGAGGGAAAGAACAGAAATGTATACAAGCCTGGGTCTTCCATTTATATGTATATGTGTAGTGCTGAGGCTGCGTTCGATGGTCTGGAGATGCGTGAAGTTGGAAGTGTTGGATATTACGAACAGCGGAGGGTTCACATAGTATTGCGGGAGTTCAATGTGCCCATCAATGGGGGCGGTCGCCGGGTGTGATGAGGACGTAGGTATGTTTGAATGGCGAACACGTCAATACATCGCCATTGATCATATTGCGCAAACAGGTCATTATACTGCCCTGACATTCTTCAAAACAGCTGCGCGCGTGACGATAAAGAAAGCACTGTGAATCTCAGCGAGAGCTTGTGATGCGACCTGGAGTTCGCAGTGGACGCCGATGGAGAAGCAGCATGGAAGGATTGAATAGGAGAAATAGAGAATCGGGATAAGTTCCATTCGCTCTCGATCAAGCCGACACTTGTTTGATTACATGGCAGCGAGGGAGTGATAGCGCTGAGGCTGGAGCTGCGACACAATCTCAAGGTCGCGAGCGGCATCATGGCGGCCAAAGAACGCTAGCATCGGACATCGGCGTATCGAGCGGCCGTTCGCACGTGACCTGCGGCACAACGTGCGCTGCCCGCGGGCCCCATGGCAGCCCAGCGCCAGCTTCCCGGCGTCAGCAATGCCTCCCACTTTTGCGCTCAACTATGCTACGCGTTCTAGCTATGTCCATCACCTTCGTCCTATAATCAGACATGCGACATACCCATCATCCCTAGATCGATTAGCTCGCGATCTCCTCGCGAAATGACACCGTCCGCGAACCTGCCTAGGTACCGATACCACCGAGCTGTGCCGGCCGACATCGAACACGGCGCGAGCTCGTATGGCGAAACTTTCAACAAACATGATCAATATATTATACGAAGTGATGAAATGCTGGTACCTAAGTAAACGAGAGTTATGGGAGACATCTGCTGCCGCATGTCGGATTAGCTGAATCAGTACCACGTCTTCGGACAGGAGGTCACCGGCATTCAATGTGGACCGCCGGCGTCTTACCAGCCACGTTAATGTCAGGCCCACTACACGAGCCATTAGGCGATAACAAGAGGCCGGCTCAGATAATCTGATCATTTCTAGAGACAGAGTAGTGCTTCAAAATGTTACTGGTCGACTTTATCAGCATCGGCATTCATCCAGACTAACCCTCACGATACCGGGATCTCGGCTTCTCTATCGGCCTACTACCATATCCCAGGAACAAACTGCGGAGTGCGGAGTAATCATACCAATATCTCCGCAAAATCCACTAGTACCCAGGGCACACGTAGGTACCTTGTCTACTTAATCATCAACTCTGGCTATCTTCATGTCTGTCACATTCGATCCAAGGACGATTATTTCACCGCGAGATGTATGTCTCCATCACGGTCTGGACAGGCTTGCTATACACCTTGACGCAGGTACATGCATCATCACCGACCCTGGCGAATCGGCCATGGCTAGATCCAACACTGCCAAACGAACAGCGATTGCAACTTTTCCTCGACCAGTTGAACAACACCCAAAAATATGCTATGGTACAAGGCGATACCGAGCTCGATGACAACGGAACTGGAGTCAACCCTTGTATAGGACACATTTCTGGCAATGAGACTCTCGGGGTACCCTCAATTTGCATGGGAGATGGCCCAGCTGGGGTTGGAAACAACTTGAACAACGTCACCGCCTTCCCGGCCCCAATCGCCGCCGCGGCTTCGTGGAACACTACCCTCGAGTACGCTTATGGCCAAGCATTAGCCCAGGAACATATGGCAAAGGGCCGCAATGTCGTTCTCTCACCGACTATCAACATCCTCCGGTCGCCACTATGGGCCCGCGCAGCCGAGACCTTCTCAGAAGATCCATGGTTGACCTCTCGAATGGCTGTGGCGGGTGTCCTCGGCGTCCAGAGTCAAGGAGCTTTAGCTTGTCCCAAGCATCTTGCTGGGTACAACCAAGACACAAATAGATTCGGGGTGGGCCCTGATTGGGATACCGTTGACGTCCACATCGACGATCGGGTTCTGCACGAGCTTTACCTGCCTGCTTTCAAGGCGTCTGTTCAAGAGGCAGATGCCGCTTCTATAATGTGTTCTTACAACAAGCTGAACGGCTTTTTCGCTTGCGAAAATGACTGGCTTCTGAACACTACATTGAGACAACAGTGGGGGTTTCAAGGTTTCGTTGTCGCTGATTGGTACTTCTCCACACGAAGCACGGTTGGCGCTGTAATGGCTGGTCTAGATATCAGCATGCCTGGAGGTTCTCTCGAGGATTCATATGGATTCCCAGCCTACTACGGAGACCTTTTGGTTGAGGCTGTCGAAAATGGGACCATACCAGCGTCGCGCATCGACGATATGGTTGCAAGAACGTGGCGGTATATGTTCAAGCTTGGAATGGTCGATAATCCAGTCACTGGGGATGCAGAGTCGGTGGCAAGAACACAGTCCCACCTTGACCTGGCTCAAAAGATGGCAGAGGATGGCTCTGTTCTTCTCAAGAACGACGACAATACGTTACCTCTCTCGCCACAGAAGTACAAGCATGTTGCCGTATACGGTGTTGACGGGACCAACCAAAGCCAGGTTACTGAGAACCACGGCGGCTTCGTCATTGACACGACAATGGTAGTGCAGTCGCCTTTCGACGCATTGAAGCAACGAGCTGGCAAAGAAGGCAACATGACAGTCACTTATGCTGAGGCCTATCCTGGTACCGGGCAATTTCCAACGGTGCCTTCTAGCATGTTCGTCGACGGTGGTCTGAATGTCACATACTACACGACTACAGACTTCTCTGGACCCATCAACCAAACCGACTTTGTACCTAACATCACCGCAGCCTCATTCCCCAAGGAGCTCTGGGTATCATGGCCCCAGGTGTTTTCCTGCGTCTATGAAGGCACTTTCAAAGCTAACACAAGCGGGATGTACCATTTCTCCCTAACCGGTCAAGGAGACGCCATACTTCACATCAACGGACAAGTCATCGCCAACATGTCGAAAGCGAACTTTGGAAACATTGTTCAAGGTATCGCGAACTTGACAGCCGGAGATGAAGTTTCCCTGGCCCTGAACTATTCCATGGGCTACTCGTTATCCACTGGCGCATACGGTGTCACACTGGGAGTCGATGTAGGCAACGAAGCAAGAGACGAAGAAGCAACTTCACTAGCAGAAATTGCTGATATCAGCATTATCTTCGCGTCCGATAGGCATTCCGAAGGTGTTGATAGCAACATTGGTCTTTCTCTCCCCGGCGACCAGGACGCAGTCATCTCTCGGATCGCCAAACGTTCGAAGAAGACAGTGGTAATCCTCAACACCAACTCGGCCGTTCTCATGCCCTGGATCGATGAGGTCGATGCCGTGATGCAGTCCTGGTATGGAGGCCAGCAGATTGGCCTGGCGCTTGAAAGACTGCTGTTCGGTGATGTCAGTCCGAGCGGCAAATTGCCGGTGACATTCCCCAAGACACTGGATGACGCTATCAAGATCACGGCAGATCTTGTTGTACCCTACGAAGAAGGGCTGAACGTTGGCTACAGGTGGTACGAAGCGCACAAGGTCGATCCGCTGTTCTCATTTGGCCATGGACTCACATACTCGACGTTCGAACTGGGCAGTCTTGCTGCGCGTCTCGCAAACTCTACCGCCACGTCTGGCTCTGAGCGCATAATTTGTGCTGCGACTTTGACAAACACTGGCGCCGTCTCTGCATCGGAAGTGGTTCAGCTTTACGTGTCCTATCCGGAGGCAGCGCGTGAGCCTCCCAAGCTGCTCAAAGCATTTGCTAAAGTGCACCTCGGGGCAGGTCAGAGTACAGATGTTCTTCTGGAGGTGCTTATGGATGATTTGAGGATCTGGTCCGAGCAGAAGAAAGACTGGAATTTTGTACATGGCGAGTATCACTTCCTTGTCGGATTCTCGGCGAGCGATATTAAGGTAGAGGGAAAGATAGTTCTTTAAATGTGCTACAATAAAGCGAGTTCGAATATACAGTATTATCGCAAAGTATTGATTACGTGACGTTGTCAGCGACATTCAGGTTTGTGACAAGAATGCGCCCTGGCCAATATTAAACCCAGCGTTAGCGAACAAGAAGGCCCAGGCTTCGTCGTCTACAAAGTCAATATTGAAGGTTGACGCATCTTCCGACGCAGAATCAAAAGTGGTTTGATCGTTGTACGCCGGGGTGATATCAGGTCTCTGCATAGTCTGCGCATGGGCAGACGCCGGTTGGTGGCTGGCAGGGTCCACGGCTGCGGCGGACGCGGCCGCTACGTGCGAAAGCGAAGATGTATGACGCGCCTGCATTGCTTCGTGCTGAGTGGAAACATTGCGCAAAAACGCTGCTTGCAATGCGCAGCTTGTGCTGGTAGGCGCTTGAAGTTTCTCGAATACTGTCGCAGCATTGCGAATGCTATCCAGCGCTGGCATTTCCATCTCGGACCGAATATATGATGGTGCTGAAAGTAAGAGCTATATCCGATGTAAGTAGTTGGCTTCCCAAAGGTGAGTTATTAAATACCTTGATGAGGAATACTGCGGCATAGGCGATCATGACATGCACACTGTCCTGAGCAAAGTACAATAGTTGAGATGCCGAAGTTTCAGAAACGAGTTTAAGCATGTCAAGCGCGCTTGAGTAGCTGTTCCAGATAGCTTCTGTATCGACAGAAGTCACAATATCCTTCAGTTTGATGGATGCGCGTAGTGAGGAAGTGTATAAGAGTAGCCGCGCGTAGCTTCCATAGAACGGGATCAGAAATGACTAAGAAATGGTGGGCGAAGTCAGTACACTTCTCGCATCAGTTCTTGCATGGATCTTTCTTACATGACAGTCCTCGCCTCGCTCAGATACTTTCCCAGTCCACCTCTCTTGCCAATTCACAATTTCTGCATCAACCATACGTAGCGTGGATCGATAGCGTGACGTGTCATTTCTTTGCTGTTGAGCATATTTTGTCGTCATCATCTCAAAGTGGGCGGACGTGATGAGGCGGAGAGATACAAATGCGCAAAGTAGCCGGTCATTCGCCATTTCAAGAGGATGTAGGTACCAATTGCTCGCTGATTCTAGATAGTTGCTCCTCTCAATCATCCAAGGCTTACCGGTCTGCATACTGATGCTGTACACATGTCAGTATCTTATGATAAGTTCGAAACCATCCTACCCCTACCTTCGGTCGTAGACAAAGAGCACCAACCAGGTTCTTTCCACGTTCCTGAATCGCATCACTTCAAGATCAGTCGTATTCTCCGGGGGTCTCATTCCATCACTCCCAAGATGATGCCATCCAAGCTCGATGGCCATTCTGATAGCGAGGCCTACATTTAACCATGCACGGTTATCGCGAGGCTCCTTCCAATATGTCAGAATTAGTATGGCCTGAACCGTCTCAACAGATTTTGCACCACTGCGGAAGCTCTCCAGGAAAAGCTCTTCAGCATGAGAAAGCAAATTTTTGCGTAGCGCAGGATGCAAAAGCTTTGCCGCTGCCGCCAGAATGGCGGTAAATAGGAACGACGACATCCCCCGGACGTACTGGAAGGTATGTAGCGTAGGATCCAATTGGCTGATGAAGGGGTTGAGGTGCTTCATGAATCCTTCAAATAGATCGGTAGCAAATTGAAGGTTGACGACGCCTTTGCTGATCGGATCATTATCTGAGGTGCCCTGTGTGCATTCTTCTGAGGCATGTCCGTGTTCAGTACTTAGCACATTCTGCAAGGAGAAGTCTCCTCTTGTGATCTGTCGGTTGAGAATATCAGAAAGCCGGAAGCCTCTGTTCTCCGTCCAGAAATCCTGGCTTGAACGTTGCATTGACTGGGGTCGAGAACACAGTCTAGAAGCTGACCTTTGAGCGCAATGTGTATCTGTCGACGGATTCGCATCATCCATTACAACAACATCATGATCAACAGGTTGAGCTTCACCATCCAATGATGGTGTCGCAGCATTCTGCTGACTTCTTGAGCCTGGTTTCTGCAATCTACAAAACACATCAGTCATTTTGCCTGATGGAAAAAGCAGGAATGACGAACTTGAAGCCATGCTTTCGACCGCGCCGGTGGCCAAGAAAGTCACACTGCAACGACTTGCGCGTACATCTGACACACCGCGTATCTTGCGCCGTCTTGTGGCACTTCATCTTGACTTTGCGGCATTGCAGGCAAGCGTGTGGTCTTCAAACAGATCAGTCGCGCAACTGCAGTCGACACAGAGCGGACTCACACGGCTTTCGGGGGTTGGCCACCAGGCGCATCATCAACCTCTGTCATCCTGAATATGTTTATCAGACATTGAGATCGGGTCGAACTGGAACGGACGCGATAGTCATATTTGAGTAGAGTGGTGTTGGAAAGAGTAAGGCATCCAGGTGTCTTATCGCTATCTTCACAAGCTAACCGCTTTGGAAGCCTCCCCGAGGTCCTTCTGACACCTGCTCCCATCATTCTCCCTCCACGGCATTCAAGGGGAAAGCTCGACGCCCACTTACAAAGCTCTTGCAGCGATACGAACATCTCGGAACCGCTGACCCCGCACGGCTCTCTCAACTCGGACTTAGCACTATGCTGCAACTTCGGTCCACTTCTATCGTTCGTGCAGATCGCCGGTGTTCTAATGTAGATTGAGTCACCGGCGACATGGTGCGTGCCCTCATGGCCTCATGCATCCATGCACCATACCGTCGCATGGACTTTTGCTCAATACCTAGGTAGTTCAAGTCAGCATCAACTCAACGCACATCTAGATACTACGCAACTAGCAACATGACGCAAATACCACGGTCGAAGGCCAAGACGGCGCACGTCAACATGATGACCGATACCATCATAGCAAACTTACCGGCGGATGCACTTCGAAGCGTGATCAGAGTCATCTTGACCACGGAGCCATCAGTTACAAGCATTTTAGAAGAACAGACGCGGATCTATCTCGAGAAAACCGCCAATCAGCCCGTCGATCAGCTGTTCCAATCGACGACCGAGGGGGTTGCCTCAACCTCGAACTTCACATGGGCCCAGCAGCGCCTACGCTGCGCCATAGGATGCGGATTGGTTCTCGACAGCTTCCCAATACTCAATAAGATTGTAGACGAATCCGTCAGCCTTGCCGATGAACACACCGTGCCTCGGTCGACAGAACTCAACCACAGTTTAGCCTCTGTCGACGGTGATATCGTGCAGGCGTTGACTGCGATTCAAAAGCGCTTGTTGTCCAATAGTGGCAGCAGAGACCTCAACGAAGAGGAGAGACCGGTGATGGACTCGCTCTTCACTTCATTGCTACGATGTCACCAAAGATGGCTTGCATCTGCGCAAGACTTTCCTTTCGAACGAAGCACTGCAGTTCTTGCGACTATGCTTGGCCGCGAAAGCGGTATACCGACACTGGTTCATCAGAATAGCTCTTGCGAAAGTCAAATTACCGGACGGAAGACATCGACCTCTATCGAGACTTTCAAAGTCAAGGGTATCGAGCTGCCGAAGCTGTTCGCGGGCCTGTGGCAACTGTCTAGTCCATCATGGGGTACTGCGTCACAAACACAAATGTTCAAGCAATTTGCAGAGTACATTGCAGGTGGCTTCACTGCCTTCGACATGGCTGACCATTACGGCGATGCCGAGGTTATATTCGGACGCCTGAGAGCCTCGCTAGCTGAACCTGAGGCCGTTTTCGGTGCCACGAAGTACTGTGTATTCCACAAGATTACCGTAACCCCCGAAGTCATCGGCGCCAACGTCACAGAGCGGTGCCAGCGCATGAGCGCCAACAAGGTCGATCTTCTGCAATTCCATTGGCAAGATTACAACGACCACCAGTATATCGAAGCGCTGCGACTGTTGCAGCAAGACGAACGAGTTCGACATCTAGGCCTTTGCAACTTCGACACAGCGCGTCTCCAAGAAGTCGTTGACAATAACATCGATGTCGTCACCAACCAGGTCCAGTTTTCCCTTATCGATGCACGCCCACGGTTTGGGATGGGCGAGGTCTGCACGAGACACAACGTGAAGCTCCTCACATATGGCACTTTGTGTGGAGGCTTTCTTGCTGAGAAATGGCTCGGTAAACCTGAACCACAGCTGTTTGGTCCTGACACGACACCATCGCAGCGGAAGTATTTCGAGATGATCCAGACATGGGGCGATTGGGATCTGTTCCAGACTTTACTGCAGACTTTGAAGGCTATCGCGACTAAGCACAATGTCTCGATCTCGAACGTCGCTACGAGATGGGTTCTCGATTTCCCGTACGTGGGGGCAGTCATTATTGGCGCGCGCATGGGTGTCAGCGAGCACACAGAGGAGAACCTGAAGACGTATGGATGGAAACTTGACGGACAAGATCAGAGCAGCATCGAAGAAGTGCTTGAGAAGAGCAGAAGGGAGGAAGTATTCAAGGTCATGGGTGATTGCGGGAGTGAATATAGGTAGAAGAAAATCGTTGGCTTGTTCGCCTGGCTTGTACATCAAATTGGTTTCTAGAAGGTTTTAAAACAGTTGGTAAACTTTCTTGAACGATTTTGGTTTGGTCGTGATCACGGGCGCGTCGCGTCATTCCAGTCCGCCCGTGCGCTCGCCTCATCTTCCTGTGCCAGCTCCGTACGATCTCTCTCTGTAATCCACCACGCGACCGCCTTTCATGCTCATGACGACCCAGTCCTCTCCTATAGGGGCGCCTTGCAGGTTTCAAAATATCCGTAACTGACATACGCTTATGTGCTCCTACCTCGGCTGACGTCACCGCCAAACACGCGCATCATGCCCGCACCATGCCTCTGTCCCCGCGATCGCCTCAGCGTCAGTCGTCGCATCACCAATCCCTAACTTCCGCGACCCAGGCTACCGAGCTACTACACGCGTGTCACTTTCAACTCTTGGAGATGCCGCGAGACGCAGATATTGTCGCGCGATTGAGGGCATAGTGGGCTGGTGCACCAGCTTTCAACATAACGATGGAGACGATAATGGTGACGGTGGTTATACTGGTGACATTAGTCGGAACTACTTGAAGAGCAGTTTTCAGCCTCCAGTGATGCTGCGACGCGTCCAAAGCTGGCTATCTCGATATCGCAATTGTGTTGAGCGCAACAACCTATCTACGAACACATCCTCTGAGTGCACTTGACGCGCTTACACCTATACCTCCATCCCCGCCAAGGCTCCTGAGACCATCTCGTCATAGTCGATACGCCGGGTGAAGCACGGGAAACGGATATGTCATGCGTATATCTCACTCCAAAGCTCAAGAGTTTCCTTCCAGACCAACCACCGTGGTATCCGCATGACTGAAGGTCCGCAACCCACTTCGTATGATTTTGAGCTGAGATTTACAATTCGGATCCGGGCATGCGATCAATGCATCCGTGGACATCCAATCATGCGCGTGAGTTGGTCGTTGCTTGGCCGCTAGCAGAGGCAGTACTGCCGCTGGAATGCCAACCTCATCAGTTCTTGAAGTGTACAGTATTTGTGCTTAAAACTCACCTAAGCTGTAGAAGCTTATGCCCTGTCCTTCGGGAAGACGAAGCATCTCTCCTTGAACAGTAAAGTAGTCTCCTGCCTTGGCTCCACACAAGATGCGCTCGCCTGGCGGACAAACCACCTCAACCCGCAAGTCGTACAATTGAAAGGAGTCGTCCTTGGCCGATGACATTCTGTTGCCTTTGGAAAGTTGCGTTGCTGATGTTTTGCACGCTCATCCCGTCTCTTCTTGGATTCTATTGACTCCCCGTTTGGAGAAGGGTGGGGCCACCGGCGTTCTAAGCATGACAGATAGCAACCGGCATCTCATGACACCCCAGCACGATCGCCGGTTTTCGGGCGCCCTGACCAGCCCCTATCAGAAACTAGAACCCCGCTATCAACGGTTACGGAGTCACTGAATCCCCCGTAGATGCCGAACTGCTTAGTGAGATAAGCTTCCCGCTTCGGCTTGGTACTTGTAGGAACCGTCGCGCGCTCCCATGCTGAGAGAGCATCATCATGGATCTATCAAAGAAGGATGCTACGCAATTTGCGCAAACTTCTGCGTCAAACTCAGAGGTCGAACATGGAGCCGTCGGTACGACGTATGAGGTCAAACGCGACCTTGGGCGTCGTCATATCAACATGATTGCCATAGCTGGCATGATCGTATGTCAAACCACTTCAAAGCATTCTTGCAGTCTCCATACTCATGCATCAACTTTAGGGTACCGGACTTTTCTTAGCATCCGGCCAGGCCATCGCTACCGCAGGACCAGTCGGCGCTCTCTTCGGATATCTGTGCATGGGCTTAATTGCATGCGGTGTCGCCCTGTCTGCAGGAGAGATGTCGGCGTTTATGCCTGTCACTGGAGGATTTGTCCGCCATGCCACGAAGTTCGTGCAACCTGCACTCGGCATCGCAACCGGATGGAACTTTTGGTACACCATGGCAATCACAGCACCAGCTGAGCTCGCCGCTGCGGCAACCTTGATCAACTTCTGGGACAACAGCATTAACCCTGCTGTTTGGTACTCCGTGTTTATTGTGATCATCGTGATCATCAACTTCTGCGGAGTGAAGGTTTATGGCGAGGTGAGTCCTCACGCAACCTACTTTTGGCTCATATATCTGACAATTCAAAGAGCGAAGTCTTCTTCGCAGCTCTCAAGATCCTCCTCATCATAGGTCTCATCATCGCCGGCTTAGTCGTCGACCTTGGAGGATCCCCTAGTGGAGATCGAATCGGCTTTCGATACTGGAAGAACCCCGGTCCTTTCAACGAATACATCGTCCCTGGAAACACCGGCAAGTTTCTCGGTTTCTGGAGCTCCTTGATCTCCGCAGCCTACAGCTACGCAAATATCCAGGTGGTCGCCATCGCTGGCGCCGAGACAAGGAACCCAAGAGTCATCATCCCTAACGCTATTCGAATGACGTTCTGGAGAGTACTCATCTTCTATGTTGTCAGCATCTTCATCGTTGGCATGCTTGTACCGTTCAACGACCCGAACCTTGGCATCTCTACTGGTGATGCTCAGCAGAGTCCTTTCGTCATTGCCTTCCAGCGCGCAGGTATCAACGTTCTGCCGTCAATTATCAACGCTATAGTATGCACTTCGGCCTTTAGCTGCGGCTCTGCATGCGTCTTCCTTGCATCACGGACCCTTTACGGGCTGGCAGAGGATGGACAAGCTCCCCGTGTCTTGCTTCGCACAAACAGGTTCGGAACGCCATACTTGGCGATAGGAGCTTCTCTCATCTTCATGCCACTTGTCTATCTCAGTCTGGGGAGCAATTCTTCGGTGGTGTTTGGGTGGTTTGTCAACATTACAACCATTGCTGGGCTGATTGGGTGGCTTGTCATCAAGGTCACGTACCTGAGGTTCTTCTACGCATTGAAGTTCCAGGGTATCAGCCGAGACCGTGAGTTCACCACCGTTCGCTTAACAGAATACGATGCTGATATTCCCAGGTCTCGCATACAAGAGCCCATTGCAGCCATACCTCGCTTGGGTCACTGGGGGCGCGCTCGTGCTTGTTATCTTGTTCTCGGGATATAGCGTTTTCTTCCCCGGTCGCTGGAGCGTGGGCACCTTTCTCACGTACTACGTCGATATAGCTATCTTCATTTTCCTGTGGATTGCTGGGTTCTGCTACGCGAGATCGGGAATCATTGCTTTGCAAGATGTCGATCTGTCGGAGATTGCGGATGTTGACCGCGAGAAGGCGGAGATCTTGAATTCAGTAGAAGAAAATCTGTCGTGGTGGAGGAAGTGGGTCATATAGTTTACGGAGGATATCCAGAATATCTACAATGTGAAAGCCCATATTGTCCAGAGACCCACGCCTCGATGATTCCTATTATAGTGGCACATCACGAACATAAACAGTAGTAAAGGACAAGCTAGATCAGGGAATTGCAACAATATGTGCAGAATTGATGCTATAGGTATATACATAGAAGTAGAATGAAGCACATCAAGCTTCAATGTGATTGCGAGAAGACGATCCTAGCGCCCAATCCATCGCGTATCCAAAGCAACCCACATCTAGTAGGTAGCGACCTTGGGACCAGGAACAACGTAGGAGTTGAAGTTGGCGTAGATGTTCGCGGTATAGCCAGAGTCGGTGCTCTTGACGTGACCGGGGATCTTAGTAGTGGGAGAGGGCTTTCCGGAGCCGCCGCCAGTGACCTTGACCTGAGCGCAAGAGATGTAGAACTGGGGCGGGCTGCCGGGGTTGTGGATACCGAGCTGCTCGATGCGGAGGAGGTACTCTCCAGCGGGGATCTGGGAGGGGATGGTGGTGGAGTAGGTGGCTGGGACGTTGTTAGATAAACTCCGATACGGTGTTGTAGTTTGTGACTTACCACTCATGTCCCACTTGGCCTGGCCACCGGAGAAGGTGGGTCCAATCTCCTTGATCTTGAACCAGTCGGAGGAGCCATCTGCAGCGGCAGCAGAGTCGACCTTGGTCATGTAGAAGGTGACGGGACCTTGGTGGTAGACAGCCTGGTCGGCGGTGAAGGAGACGGTGGAGCCAGCAGCGACCGAGACAGTGGTGGTGCCGCTGCCCGAGTTACCGCCAGCATTGCATCGCAGGTTCTTGTCCGCAAGGTCGGTGACGGGACTGTTGTTGGGAACGGGCCTGATGTTCTGGAAGTTGGCACCCTTCACACCGTTGGCGGTGAGCTGTTGGAAGATGTCTTGTACCTGTTAGTATATGCTGGTGCAGAATGAGTGGTGAAGTGCCATACAGTGACCCGAGGCAACGTTGGCAAAGGCCGCAACGGCGGTAGCGATAGCAATGCACTTCATGATGTGAGTTTGGTAAGTGAGAGACTGATGAGGATAGCGAATGAACTCGAAGGTGCTGATGATCTTGGTAGAGAATACGAGAGCAAAGTCCCCGGTTCTTATATGTGTTCTTCCTCACAGATACAACGCCTCGAATGGATACCACTCCATATTGCAGCACGCAGGACATGACCAGAGAGGGTAAACGTCAAGCCATGATTGGCCCAAGCATGAAACTCGAAATGAAGAAACGTCACAGGACAGGCACGATGGGTACCGCAGGGCGGCAAAGAACCCGGGACGTGAGGTGGAGTGTGGATACTCATTGCCGGTGGCAGTTCGTAGAATTTTCCTTCTGGAACGACCTTGTGACAGCCTTCGACGAGGCGAACAAGTGATGGTATGGCAGGTAATATCGCGAGTATGGGGGCTTGACATGCAGGACTGCAGGTCATTGGTCATGCATGCACGAAATGTGCGTACCGGGCGAATAGGAAAAGCGCATGTGCCGACGACTGTGGGTTCTATCCGTCGGAGCTAGAGACTGGCGCATTTGCTGGAACTGTACAACACTGGACGCCTAGGATAGATTAATATCTGGGGTAATATGTTTTTAATCACCATGGTCCAAGCTAGGGCGGAACTTGAGGCGATGGGAAGAAAAAGGAAACAACACCGATCCACAATGTCCACCCAAACTGGTTATCGCACATGTACACCGGTGTACTACGGCAAAATATGAGTCTTGTCTGAACGTCTGAGGTGTTGTTGTTTGTGCGAACGACTTGCAACGGCGTAGATGTTTCATACCGAGTCATGCAATCGACGCAACCGGATGCCGAACGACAAACGAGGTGATGATTGCCACAACCTCTATCGCTTGAAACAGGCACCTGAGAACTTGTATATTAATCTTGCTGAAAGGTTTTTTTTGTGCAAGGTCTTGCATATGCAGGCGCCATCGTCTCGTCGAGGTCGATCGAGCAATCGCTGTGGCGGGTGGCTGGTCAATTTCCCATCTCTTGTCGCGAACTTGGACAAAAGCAACTCTGGAAATCAAAGGGTTGCTCGCTTGCCCTGTGGATCTGGAGTAAGGCCCGCTCTTCCTGTGCCAGGTTGGCAGCGTGGATGTGAGTTTTCTAAGAGTGGGTTCCAAGGTTCGCTATTGCACACTCTCTGTTCCTTCCGTTGCGAGAACAGCAGATCCCAGGCATTTTCATGTTTGTGGTGCTGAAGAGATCGCAGGTGATGGCGCGTCACCGGAGCAGTCAAGCAGGCGCGTTTGGTGAGGCCAGCCCCCTGCGAACATCACTCTGTCGCGCAAGCCAGGTACGAAATCTCGCTGCGCCGTACAGGCTATTTCAAAAGCGCAGGAATAGAATCTGTACCCCTATGTATCAAGCAAGGTAACGCATCAGCTTCGAAATATCTTGGAGATACGCGCCTGTGGTTCCTAGGTTTACCTGGCTTCCGCGACAGCGCTAGATGCCTTGGTAGAGCTTCATTCAACATACTTGCCTGGAATATCGTTATCGGACCAAGTGAATTCGCATGAGGCCCAAATGGCACAGCTCGAGAGCGTTCGCTGGAAGCTTGCCACGTTGAGAGCATGGGAGCGACTTCCAAGGCTGGGACCTCAGGAGCGGGGTACAACACGTGATTCCGTTGCACGTCGCGTCGCCATCGACATACGCCTAGTACTGACACGGAAAGTCCATGCGGAAACTATACGAAGATACGCCAGATCCACAGTCTTATCACATCGAATGCTGTGTTAGGGCAACAGCGTTGGGCGGTAGTTCGAGCGTTATAATTCATTCCTCCGAACTCAACTTCTTCTACTCCCCATCTTTGAACTCTTCGTCAATTTCGTGTTTTCCAATTGTTCGTTGCGAGAAGATGTCTGCAGAAGTCGCCACTGATCCTAGTCCGCGGAGCGAGAAATCGGTATCTGCTCATCCATTCTCCCCGCTATCGGCATCAGAACTCCAAGATGCTGCGGCGATCATCAAAGCTTCATGGCCAGCGCACACAGACCTGCATTTCAAGGTCGTAACGTTGCAGGAACCACCAAAAGTCGAGGCACTGAAATATCTGGAGGCTGAGCACAGCGGCAAGCCACTTCCGTCAATCGCGAGAAAAGCTTTTGTCAATTACTACATCCGGAACACCGTATGTGCAAAGATGTTGGAAGTATGATTCGCGTCTAATCAGTCGGCAGAACAAATTCCACGAGGCTGTCGTGGACTTGACCTCACGTCGCGTAGATCGCAACGTCCTTCTAGGGCCCTTTGTCCATGCCAACGCGGATGGCGATGAAATCGTCGCTATCGAGAAACTTGTCCTGACCGATGAGAAAGTACAAGCGGAGATTGCCAAGCTCGAGCTCCCCCAAGGCACAGTAGTAATCAGCGACCCATGGATCTACGGGTCCGACGGCGTTGGAGACGAAGATAGGCTGTGGCAATGCTTCCTATACCTCAGGGACCCGATGAACTCATCAGAAGCCGACTCCAACCACTACGCAATGCCACTTCCTATCTCGCCCGTGGTGAGCACAGAGAAGATGGAGGTCATTCGCGTTGATATACTACCGACTGGTGCAGACAACACCATCAAGCCGGTTGAAAAGTACAAGATCCAACCGCCCAACGAGTACATACCCGAGGCCCAACAACTGCGGACCGATCTTAAGCCGCTTAATGTTGTCCAGCCGGAAGGTGCTAGCTTCCAAGTCGAACAGCAAGGTACATCAAATGTCATCTCATGGCAGAAATGGAACTTCCGCGTTGGTTTCAACCAGCGTGAAGGTATGGTACTGTACGATGTCCGTTACGACAACCGCAGCTTGTTCTACCGAATGAGCCTTTCAGACATGAACATTCCGTACGCGGACCCTCGTCACCCCTACCATAAGAAGAGCGCCTTCGACTTGGGTGATGTTGGTGCTGGTATCATGGCGAACAACCTCAAGCTGGGCTGCGACTGTCTGGGCTCGATCTATTATCTCTCAGCCGTACTCGCCGACAACCACGGTGGGTCTGTGGAGATGCCCAACGTCGTATGCGTCCACGAGCAAGATGCTGGAATCGGTTTCAAGCACACCAACTACCGCACCGGTCGCGCAGTTGTCGCTCGAAACCGGGAGTTGGTGCTCCAGAGCATCATCACCGTAGCCAACTACGAGTACATCCTGGCCTTCATCTTCAACCAGGCCGGTGAAGTCGATTACGAAATTAGGGCTACCGGCATCTTGAGCACGCAGCCTATCGATGAAGGTGTCGAGGTACCCTTTGGTACAGTCGTGCACCCCGGTGTACTTGCCGTCCATCATCAACATATCTTCTCATTGCGCGTGGACCCCATGATAGACGGGTATGACAACAGACTCGTTTACGACGAGGCGTTCCCGATGCCGCGCTCAGACTTCAACCCCCACGGTACTGGCTACTACGTCCAAGAGACCGTTGTAGACAAGTCTGGCGGCTACGATATCGCATACGAGAACAACCGCACCTTCAAGATCCAGAACCCGAATGTGCGAAACCCCGTCAATGGAAAGCCAGTCGCATACAAGATCCAGGCGCCGCCGTTCCAAAAGATCCTTTCCGACAAGGACTCTTTCAACTACAAGCGCGCCGAATTCTCCGACCACAACATCTACGTCGTCAAGCACAAGGATGGGGAATTGTACGCAGGCGGTACCTACACCAACCAGAGTCGTGGTGGAACGGGAGTGCGGAGCTGGGCAGAGAGGAACGACAACGTCAAAGACACGGACTTTGTCGTCTACATCCAAGCGGGCATCAACCACGTGCCTCGTATTGAGGACTTCCCCGTTATGCCTTGCGAGATCATCAAGATCCATATGAAGCCAGTCAACTTCTTCGATAAGAACCCTGCGCTGGATGTACCGCCGAGTGAGCAGGCGTTTAACAAGAGCAGCTTGTTGAGCGAGCAGCACCAGCAGCCTAGTGTTACTGCAACGATTGGTGAGGACGGTACGTGTTGTGCGCCGTCGGCGGCGAAGTTGTAGAGTTGTAGTTTTCACCAATTGAACATCATCACGAAACGTTGCGAAAATTATTTGTGAGATACCATGCGATCGTCCAGAGCCAAGATTGATATCGATGCAAAGCTACGAGCATGAAAAGGAATGTCAATATAGTAAAATGCGCTCAAATTGTGGACGAACCATGTCCAACCTTGGAAGGGAAGAGTTGGTCGTGTGCCTGCTCAGCAGGTAAGACGCGCCAAGCCCAGAGTCGCGCTAGTGACGGTCCAAAGCTCATGCCTCGCGGAACCTTCGAAGCCTCAAAGAAACACTCACTCGACCTCCCACGATATCCCGACTCTCTTTCACCGTGTACCTGCCAGCGACCTCTTCATCAATATCGAGTCTGCACAGCGATGGCGCCCAACGACAAAGCGGGCCGAGTTGTTTTCATCGGCAACATTCCCTACGGTATGCGACCACTCACCCTGGAGCCTACATTGACGCCAGATCTTCCCAATCTGCCTCTTTGACACCACTGTAATCCTAACCCGAACTAACAAACCCAGGCGGCACTGAAGAGCTCATCATCGAAACCCTCGGGCGCGTCGGACAGGTGCTCAACTTTCGCTTGGTGTACGACAAGGAAACTGGGCGCCCCAAGGGCTTTGGCTTCGCAGAGTTCGCCGACGCTGACGCCGCAGCCTCCGCCGTGCGCAACCTCAACGACTACGATTTAATGGGCAGGAAGCTGAGGGTCGACTGGTCCAACGAGAGCGGCTCCGGCGACAACGCGCCTTCCAACCGCGACCAGACTACACAGCCAGCCATGAACGGCCAACAACCAGCAGCACCGGCACCGGCGCAACCGTCGAGCGCGCTGGGTCCTCTCCCACCCGGCGTCGAGCTGCCGCCCAACCTCACCTGCCCCGATGCCATCTCGCGCACCCTCTCCACGCTGCCTCCCGATCAGCTCCTCGATATCCTCTCGCAGATGAAAGGCCTTGTTATGACGGATCCCACCAAGGCGACAGAGCTGTTGCGACAAGCGCCCCAGCTGGCCTATGCCATCTTTCAGTCGCTACTGCTCCTCCAGCTGGTCGACCCACAAATCCTGACCTCGCTTGTGGAGACATCGGCCGCGCCTGCCCCAGTTGCGCAGGCTCCACCTGTTCAGCAAGTACAGCAGCCACCACCGCAAGTTGCGCGACCGCCTGTGAACTACCCCGGGTACCCACCACAAGTCGCGCCTACACCTCCCCAAACTCAGCCACCCGTCGCGCAGCCGTACGCGCAGCCTCCACAGCAGCAGCAACCACAAGCGCCTGGAATGGACCAGCAGGCGCTGTATGCCCAAGTCATGGCGCTGTCGCAGCAGCAGATTGATCAACTAGCACCAGAGCACCGCGCCCAAATCCTGCAAATACGGCAGATGTTGATGGCTGGTGGGCGGCCCTAGTTACGCCGAGACTCCCAGCAACTTCATAAGAAGCGGAAAGTTGGCCTTGGTCTTGCTATGAAAGACCACTTGTTCCACGAGCGGGGTGCGGAGGTCCTTTGGTGCATACTACGCGACGTAGGACAGAGCACAGCACAACCTGATCTCATCGCGCGGAGCTTACTGGAAATCATGGAATACCGCGATCGCGGCTCCAGGGCGCAGTGCTTAAAAGAAGCGATGTTCTCATATGGCTTGTACAGCTTGAAAACTCTCCCAGAAGAAAGCGAGACCTGGGAAATGATGAGTCGTGATTTGGATGGATCATCAGACTCTGGATTCGAATCGGATGACTCAGGCTATGCAGATGATGATGGATTGGACGTGCAGAAACGTGAAGGAACATGTGGAGTGTAATGAGTGGCTCCCCAGAAGGACTGCATAGCACAGTCGCGAATAGATGCACACAGGTCGCACAAGCCTGATTAATGCAAAAATGGATTCAATGTCACACGCGCGCCTTGTTTTTGTTGTAATCCTTGTCGATGCGACTGGGTGATGTTTGACTATCAACGATCGGGTTTAAAGATTTCGGCGGCCTAACCAACATTGAACATGCAAGATAACTACACTGATGGCCTCGGAAATCTCCGCGCGCCTTGACTGTGTCGGATGAAGGTCGTGGGAGGAGCTCGCAACACGCAGCAAGAGCTACTACTAGCTACCAGAACCACAAGCCTAGATTTCCGCGCCCCAGCCTGCACAGTTCACTTTGATCAACATGTTCTCGATGACAGCGAGAACAGCCCCGGAAGAAGCCCCGGTAAAGATCCGCAGAAGAAGCGTTTGCCATCGGGCAGCTATTGGCCCAGCCTCGCCTCCATCCCGTGTGGATCGAGCTAACCCTTGCCGCCAACTCACTCGGTTGCTGGGGCTTACGTCCCAAGCCGAGCACTTCAGCTGCTCTGCACCACACCAATCTTTGCGATTAGTACCGCGAGAGGCTGCTTTGGTTGTCCTTGGGCATTGCGCGCATACTTTCCTAGCCATTCTGCATCGGAAACCTGTACTATATCATCACGACATGACGATTTGAACGATTCTCTCTCACTTGCGACTGTCTGCAGCGATATACCCAGCATATCCCACCAAGAGACTCATCTCATTTGCGCCCGACCCATTGCCAGCACCACTTTGTAATAACAACGCATCTGCGCCCCCGCGATCCTGACTGCAGTCATCCGCCATCATGTGGAGCAGATTGACCGGTAGCTCTGCTGCCTCCAACAGCAACAAGGACGAGGAAAGTCGCCGCCGCCGTACTAGCGACTCCACGCGTTCCAAGCGCGACCCAGACGCCCGCTCCGTCGTGTCATCCTCGACGACGCGCAAGCCATCGACATCGACCTCATCTAAACGTGACACTGCGCCTTCCGCGTCTTCGATTGCCTCCTTCACGACTGCCTTCGACGAGATGCCGCGCTCACGGGCCACAACAAACAACACGAGCGGTCCCTACGACGACGACAACATGCGTCGCGACGATCGCCGCAGCAGCTATGCCGAGTCGTCCAGCTCGACACTGCGCGACGACAAGGACCGCAAGACGGGCAAGACCAAGGACAAGAAGCTCGAGAAGCGCCGCTCGACGCGCTCAGTGCGGTCCGGCAGCACGTCGCAAACGGGCGCCGGCTACAGGGGCGAGATTGTCGACAGTCCCAAGTCGGTCCAGCGCAGCTTCAGCGGCCAGATTGGCAGCGACGGCTTCTCGCAGTTCCCAGGACAGGCAGGAGCGCCCATGATGTCGGGCGCTCTGCCAGTAGGAAGCCACCCACCACACCCCGACGACATGGACGATCACGTGCAGAGCCAGTTCCCTGGCCAGGACCCTCTGCGATACACCTCGAGCGCGCTCCCTGGCGGCCATCCATTTGGAGCGGCTGCCGACTTCTACAACGACCAGGGCCAGTCAGTGCACCAACAGCCTGGCGTGAGGCCCCAGCCGCCCTCTGTCATCATAGGACAGGATACCCCCCATCTCATGTCTGCCTCCGCGCAGCCCAACCCGGTTGCCGACACCGGATCGGGCGCCGCTGCAGACTTCTACGGGCCCAGCACAAATGGCTCTTCATCCAGGCCTCCACGACCATCGAGCTCGTCCATGCCCGGTGCCTTCGTCGACGACACCCCGACGCCCCAGAAGCCACCGCGACCCGCATCTTCATCGAGACCCAACAAGTCGAGCACCTTCGGCCCAGCTGCTACTGCGGCCGGCGCAGCTGCCCTGGGATATGCCATGGGCCACAGCTCCTCTAATCACGAACACACCACGAGCTACAGCTCATCGAATGTTCGCCCTTCTACATCATACTCTTCTTATACTAATAATACCCCCCCGGCTGCTCCGGCTTCTACGTACAACATGTACGGCCCGGGATCTAATGCTTCTAATACCGCTGCCAACGACGGCAGCTACCTCCCACCCTTTGCTGCAGCCGCCGCCTACGGCGTGGAAGGCGCGCCTCCTCCAAAGCCACCTCGGCCAGCCAAGCCAGAGAAGCACTCGTCTGGCAGCATGGCCGGACTGTACGCTGCTGGCGCCGCAGGACTGGCGGCTTATGGCTTAAACCAACATAATTCACACTCACACACCCACTCCAACACCCACACACACTCGCACAGCACACACCATCACCCGTCGACGCACGGTCCGAACGGACATCATCCCAATGGCCTTACACCCAGTCCATACATCTCAGGCGGCATGGCTCACCAGCATCAGCACACCGGGCCTGTTTCCAAGTTTGTCGATTGGTGGAAGGACTACGAAGATGTGCAGAAGATGGAAGAGTACACCGAGTACATTGGAGTTTGCAAGGGCTGCTTTGACCCTCGCTCTTCCGTTCTGGACGCCCCACGGAAGCACCACTACTACAAACGGCGATCCAATGAGTTTATGCGACCCACTGGTGGCATTGAGAAGCAATCTCGATACTCGCTCAAGGAGAAGAAGTCTTGGGGCTCAGTCTCTTCGGGTGAGGAGCGTCGCAAGAACAAGAGCAGCGCCGCGGGCTGGGTAGCTGCAGGCCTGGGCGGCATGGGCCTTGCCAAGGCTGGAAAGGCTGTCTTCAGCGCGGGTCGCGACGACTTTGACGACACATACAGCATCAAGTCCGGTCGTTCGAGGGTCTCACGACACAGCCGCAGCAGATCAGGGGATCGCAAGAGTTACAGCTATGGTAGCTCTGGCATCCGCCACCGCAGCAATTCTGCCGACCGCATTTCCGTCATGTCCGTAGGCGTTACGAGCGACAAAAAGGACCGTAAGGATCACAAGGTTGTTCACCGCCAGTCTCGGTCGCGCCGTTCTCGCTCAAGCTCAACTTCAAGCTCCAACTCAGGACGCGGCAAGACAGGCCTGATCGGCACTGCCATTGGTGCAGGTCTTGCAGGAGTCGCCCTTGGAGCGGCCACAAAGAAGAAGCAGCACAGCCGATCCAGGTCCCCGAAGAGGGTTCAAGTGGTTCATCACCGCAGAGACAGCAGTGACGATGAGCGTCGTAGGAGAAGATCGCATTCACTCCGACACAAAGCATCCCGAAGCTCAACATCTGGAGCCTCTGTCATCGAGATTGGCCAGAATCACGAGTCCCAGGGTGGCTTCCTCGGAGGCTTCTTCTCTGCACCCCCACCAAAGGAGAAGCGAGTGAAGACAGCCAATAGCCTGAAGAAGAAGAAGAAGGGCTTCTTCAGCTTCAGCAACGCTTCAACGTCCTCATCCGACTCCGAGATGGCATTCGGCACCGGCTACGTAAGGAGGACGCGCAGACGATCGTCGCCGAAGAGACGAAACTCGGATGAGCGACTGAAAGCTTCGCTACTTGGTCTTGGCGCTACGGCTGCTGCTATCACAGCCGCGAAGGCCGGCAAGGGCAAACGCCACAACGAAGTCGTTGCTGTGAAGGAGAACCGTCTTGGTCGCAGAACCAGTCAAACTTCGAGACCCGCCTCACGTTACGGAGACGACGAGTGGGAGGACTTGCCGGACGATGGTACTTCCGACTCTTCGAGTGATGGCGGTCTCGTATACGGCGATTATTCCCTGAAGAAGACCAAGAGCAACGAGTCTATCGGATCCAACCACTCAGGTACGAACAAATGGGGCTGGCGATGGGGCTTTGGCAAGAAGAGAAGGTCTTCCAACAACCTCTACGACAACATCGCTAGTACATCGCTCATTGGGCCTGCCGCAGCTGGCGCAGCAGGTGCCTTGACCGGCGCAGCTGTTGGAGCTGCCCATGGACACCACGACAGCGAGTCTAGCAGCGCTCAAACATTGCAGTCGGTCTATCCTGTTGCACCCCATGACCCCAATGCGTCGTTCGATGCACGCCGTACAAGCTCTATCGTCACCAATCAGCCTATTGTCACCTCAGGACCTGGTCCCATACCCATTCAACACCCTCAGCCAGTGCAGCAAGTCCCCGGCGCCATCTACTCAACACAGGCACCATCACAATCTGGGTACACCACAGCAGGTCCTTCAGACTTCCCACCAGCACCTTTCCCACCTCCTTATCCCACGCAGTCTCAAGTTCAGAACATTATCATCCAAAGTCCTCAGCATCCTCAATTCCGTCGGGCAAACTCTTCTCCCATCCAAAGCTCCTCATGGAGGCGAGATGCCTCTATTGCTGGACTTGCAGCGACTGCCGGATTTGCAGCAGTTTCTGCGATGAAACACCCCGACCGACCTCCGAGCCGACCGCCGTCCGCGTCTAGCAATGTTCGCTTCAACTTGACACAAGAGCAGGCCGAGAAGGACCTCCGTGAGCGACGCAAGGAGCAGGAGCGACTGGACGAGGAGGCCGAGCGTCGCCGAGAACAACAGAGACGCGAGGACGAGGCGCGCCGGGAAGAGGAAGACCGAGTGCGTCGAGAACAGCTGCGACAAGAGGAAGAGGCCCGGCGAGCGGCACTTGCGCTCCGTGAGGAAGAGGATCGTCTGCGCAAAGAACGGCAGCTGCAAGAGGATGAGGCTCGACGGATTGAAGAAGACCGCCGGCAGACATTGCTCCGTTTGGAGGAAACGACACGCCAAGAAGAAGCGCGACGCCGAGACGAAGACGAGCGACGTCGCCTGGAGTTGCAACGGCAGCAGGAGGAGGCTCGCAAGTTCATGGACATCGAACGATTGGCGAGGCTCGAGAACGAACGCCGTCGCGAACAGCAAGAGGTCCAGGCACGCCTCGCTCGGGAAGCCGAAGACCGTGAACGTCATCAACGAATGTCCGAAATGGAGCGTCAGCGTCAGCTCGCCATCGAGGCTGCGGAGGCTGAGCGCAAACGGAGAGAGCGCCGTGAATCTCAACAACAAGAAGCTGAGCGCATCGATGCCTCGAGACGCGAAGCTGAGATTCAAGAGGACATGGAGCGCCGACGCAGGGAACGCGAAGCTCAGGACTACACCGACCGATACGAGAGCGACCGAGCTCGTAAGCTTGAACAGCAGCCAACAGGAGATTCAATGGCTTCGACTGCCACCGTTGTACAACGCAAGGAGCAGGAGCTGCAAGACCGCGAACGCGAGGCTTTCAAGTCTGACAAGAAGTCTTCCGTTGCTGGCGCAGTAGCTGCTGGTGCAGCAGCAGCAATCGCAACTGCTGCGATCAAGGACTACAAGGACAACAAGGACAAGGAGAAGGAGAGGGAGCGCGAGAGGAAGCGCGACACCAAGTCTTCGTCTTCAACGAAGAGCAGCAAGAGCGAATCCTCCTCGTGGAAACGCCCTAAGAACGATTCTTCTTCGTCCAAGAGCAGCAAGAGTGAATCTTCATCCTCGAAGAGCAGCAAGAAGCGGGAGCCAACCAGCGTCAAGACTGTCGAACCCAGCAAAGTCAAGCAGGACATTTTTGACGACGACATCTTCAACCCCGATATGTTCAAGCAGAAGGACGATTCACGCCAGCAAGCTCGCGAAGTCCTTCAAGATTGGGAACAGCGGTACTATGCTAAGCCAATATCACAAGCTGAGTTCTTCGCACCGGAAGAGCTTTTGGCCAACGACAACCTGCCCAAGGTCCGCCCAGTAGACCCGAACGAGGGTGCCCCAGACCTCCCCACGTACCAATCCTGGGAAGACTATCCTGTCAGCCAGCCCAAGGGCCCGCCTTATCCTCCATCATACGCATTTACCGCCACCAGAAATGGTCGGTCCTCTCAGCCACCACCGGCACCTCCAGTCCCATCGCTGAACCTCATTTTGCCCACACCCCCCGGTAGTCGCACTCCTTCTGTACGCAGCGCATCTGCCCCTCCATCGCCCGCTATGGAACCCATCAGGGAGACTAGAGAGACTAGACGTGAGCCAAGAGATGACGAATCGAACCGAGCAAGGTCTAGAGTAAGCTGGGGCGAGAACCAGTTCCACCACTTTGACGTACCTACTCCGGAATCTTACCGTGAGCAATTTGTCTCGGACGGCGATCTTAGGTCGCGTGAAGCCACGGTCGAGCGCGAGCCGCCCAAGCCCGAACAGACGACGTCCACCTACACACCCTACCGCCCCGAGATGTCAAGAGTCCCCGAGAGCAAGGAGACTGCGCCAAGCACGCAATACGTTCGGGACGAGAAGGACTCCAGCTGGGACAGTGTTGTGGACGCTGCTTCCAAGAAGAGCAACAAGAAGGAGAAGAAGTCAGCTGCAGCGGCAGCAGCTGCAGCACTAACGACTGCAGCGGTTCTTTCCCGAGATCAACGAGATCAAGAGGACGAGCGTATCTACAGACGCGACCATCCGACTGCATCTGCTCTGAGCAACCCGACTGCATCCAACCTCAGCAGTGCGACTTCCTATGATTTCAGCGATCCAACTGCGTCTACCGTCAGCACTATCGTCAGCAATGCAACTGCAGCTGGGTTCAGCAATCCGACTGCTTCTTCCCTGAGCAACCCGTTTTCCGATGGAAACAGGGCCCCATCAACTATCGCTCCATCGATTATCTCAGCTGCTCCTTCTTCCACAGTCACTCCTTCCATCATCTCAGCTGTGCCATCTACGAGCAGCGTTCAGACGGCATACTGGCAGCCTGAGTCAGAGCGCGACGCGTGGAGGGCGCCCCAACAGACTACAGTGGGACCTGGCTTTGTTGAAGGCGAGATTCCTACACCGCCAGTGTCTATGCACATGCCCGGCGGCTGGGACGACATACCGGACTCTGAGGTGCTCGCAGAGGAGCCGCCGACATCGTCCGCGAAGAAGGACACAAAGGGTAAGAACAAGGCTAATGATACTGACGAAGTTGTAGCTATGCAGAATATTTCTCGGCGTGGAGAGCCAACACCTGCAGTGAAGGAGAGGGAAGCTGAGCCAGAGGTCAAGCTCAGCAAGAAGGAGAAGAAGGACAAGAAGAAGAAGTCCAAGTCATCGAAGCGAGCCAGTGTGGACACTTGGGAGATGAGTGATCCCAGTCCGCCATCAAGCCCAATAATGGACCGCGATCCCAGGGACATCGAGCCCTCCCGAGATCCTAGAGATATTGAGCCTTCTCGATCTGCTGAAACCTCACGTTTCGCCGACTCTTCTCGCTCAACTGAGTCTTCTCGACCTGCCGAACCACCACGTCTAGGAGAAGCATTCCAAGAGTCCCCTAGTCCTCCGAAGAAGCTCGCGCGACAAGGTGAGAGCAGCGGCAGTAAAGCCTCCACCGCTGCCATGGCCGGTGGTTTCGCTGCTCTAATGGGCATGACCATGAACCAGGATCAAAACAGGATGGCCTCGGATGCCGAGCGTGCCAGGAAGGACCTTGAGTCTACAGAGAAGCACCATTCACGCGATTCTCCTGTATCTCCACCGAATGGCGCACGTGCACTCGAACGAAATGAGAAGAATGTGACAATCCCAAGCTACGCATTCGAGGGCGTTGAGGAGCTGGCCGATAAGACACCCAGGCCGAAAGTCCAGAAAAGACACAGCAGCGGCAAATGGTCACCTAGCATCAGTTCTCCTCTCAGGACCGAGACGACCTATGACGACTACATAAACGCCCGCACCATTCCCGATCCTTCCAGATACCAAACGATGGTCGAGGCCCCAAAGGTTCCCACCGCAGCGCCGTTCACGATGGCGCATGATCCAGTCACCGCTCGTAACGTAACCGACTCTGGGTACTATGCTCCCGACGACGTGCCGAGCCGGGCGGGCAACGATAAAGAATCGAATGGATTCTATCCCGCAGACTTCAACGAGGAGGCAAAGGACAGGCACTCACGAAACGATCGCGACCAGGATGTCGATGACAGATACGATGATGACTTCGACGACAGACCACGCAGGTACGATGATGACGATGTGGGCTCAATCGCTTCTCTGAGCTACAAGTATGACGACCCCGATCGCGAGGAGAGACGCCGTAGACGTCGCGAAGCCAAGTCTGAGACACGTGAGAAGAGCCATGACCGCGGTTACGATCTAGAAGAGGGTGGTGAACGGAGACGAAGACATCGCCGCCATGAGGATGATGAGGGCGCTGACGATTGGGACACGAAATCTGCCATCTCCGAGACTGGCGAGCGACGACGCAAGCACAGGAGAAGGGATGGGGACAGAGATGCATCACCTGAGACCAAGACTAGATCACGCTCGACGGCTGCTTCCGAACTCGGCGACTACGATGATGATCGCAAGTCCTCCCGGAGACGATCCAAACGAGATGATGACATGGTTTCCGTCGTATCCTCCATCCCAGATCTAGACGAGGATCGCAGCTCAAGGAGAGAGAAGGAGAAACGTCCAAGTGGCTTCCTTGGCCTTTTCGGCAGCAAGTCGAGGGAGAACTTGAAAGAAGCTTCAAGCAAGTCCTCGAAATCTAGGGACGACGACGATGAAGAACGCAAACATCGTAGACGGAAGCATCGGTCGGATCGCGGTTCTACCTACGGCGGCTCAGACGATGATGACATGCGCTCCACGATCTCGACCAGTAGTCGACGCGAAAAGAGGAGCAGCCGCAGTCGTAGCGAGAGAGGAGACGGAGACAGGACGGATGCTTATGATGACAAGGTACATCGCTCTTCTCATGTGCGATAGCACCGTTGTTCGCAATGTATTTAGAATGAATGTTGATGTCGTGTTTATAGGATCTCTTACAACCTCGAACCCCGCCCTCGCATGCCGATGAACAACAACAACCACAACAGCAGCCTTTTTTAGGCGATCGGGCAGTGACCACAGCCACTCCAAGTCCACTGCCCGTAAGTGAGCCTGTCGATCAGGCCCACGAGGGTAGTGGCATAATCCTTGGAGATCGGGCCGAGTTTCCTCTTTCGACCTCGGATGATGCCCAACGCTTCACCGCCTCTGGAGACAACGACCTACCGCCCGAACTATCGTTCGAAGACAGCCGCGCGCTTCTAACGCGTCTTACAGGCCTTCAGCCTTGGCAGCTGGAAGCTTTCCCCGATGAGCTACCTCCGCTGCCGCTGTCTAGGCCAGGTTCGCCAACACGTTCGCCAGACGTCACACGTCCATCGACCGCGATTTCTCAACGTCGATTATCATCAACGGCAGTTCCCATACGCTTCCGCAAGCCCGTTATACCCTCTACCGTTGACCCTAGCTTAGCAGCTGATCCTCTTCCTGGCCCTTCACCAACCCGTTCTCGCCATGGCAAGACGCACTCTACAGAGTTTAGAAACTCTCGAGAGTTCCGACCTTTGTATCTGGTGGAGCGTAACCGCAAGTCCAATGAGATCGATGAGGTGTTGCCAGCACTTCCACCCAGTAGTGCTTCCTCAGTAGTCTCTGGCGCGGATTCAGAAGAAGAGTTTGAGTCTGCTCAAGAGTCACCTTATGAGAGCGCTGGACAGTCATCTTATGACTCATTTTTCGATCCTTTGAGTACCGTAGCCGACCTCATTTCGTCTAGCCATGGACCGGAGCTTCAACATCCTGAGCTTGCACATCGCGAGATCGAAGAAGTCGAGGAATCCGGCCAAGCCACTCCTAAGGCCTCTGACTACTTCACAGGTGCCCAGGAAGCGTCCGCACCGTCTAGCGGTCCCAACTATGAATCGCTTACTGCGGCACTGGAGCATGCCAGAGCACAGGAACAGGATTCGTCCACCGACGATTTCATGTCGACTTTGACCTCCCCACAGGCGGAGACTCCTATTGAGACAAGCGAGCTGCTCGATGACAAGATGATGCGCGACGTTCCCAAGTCCCGCGACACTACTTCTGCCCCATCGAGCAGCTCTTCAAGACTTCAAGACGCTGCTCTTAGCGCAGTAGTGGGAGGATTGACAGCAGCTGCTTTGCGAAAACGCTCTCCTTCACCAACTCGATCTCAGCGCGATGACACCAAAGACAAGACTTCGCCAGAGCAACCTGAGCCCGAAACCATCGAACCTGTTGTCGAACCATCGCCAAAGGGCAAGGGTAAGGCCAAGAAGACCAAGAAAAGTAAGAAGGGTAAGGAGCCTGTCGCCGCCGAGTCTCCCGTAGCTCCGTCGCCTGTTATCCCATCGCCTGTAGCTCAATCACCTGAGGAGATAATCAAACCATCGCCCTCCTTCAGCTTCGCCACTACGTTCGTTGACAACGAAGAAGCTTGGGCCAAGAACAGGACTGAGTCCGTCGTTACGGACGATGCTACGCTTGTCGGCGAGCCCGTCGGAACGCCCAAGGATACCAAGGCATTTCAACAGAAGGTTTTGGACACTACTGCACCAAAAGAGGAGGAATCCACCGAGGTTAGACGCGCTGTCTTTGATGATATCCCCCACGAAACTGCTAGGTCAATTGAGCCTGTCGAAGAGGCAAAGCAGGGTCTTGGAATTACTACTGAACCAGCTGCCACGACTGTTGAAGTTTCACAAGACGCGACTATCGAGCCTAGCTCTTCCAAGTCTGCTGAACCCTCAATTCCCGAGCCGGTCATCGAAGAGGAAGTTGCGACTACACCCAAGTCCAAGAAGGCGAAGAAGAACAAGAAGGGTAAACGCGGCAACAAGCAAGCTGAGGCTGAGGCCGAGCCGGCAACCCTTGCAGAGGTCCCTACTCAAGATGATCAGATCTTGCCTTCGTCCGAGTCGCAGCAAGACACTTTTGAACGCGATATCCTCGAGCCATCTTTCGAACGCGAAGAGCCCAAGGACAAAGCCGAGGAGCCCAAGGACAAGGTCGATGTCATGGACTTCTTGGTTCAAGAAGAGGCACCAGCCGCTTCAACCGATGAAGCAGTTTCGCAAGAGGCGGTGCCTGCACCTACTGCTCCAGCAGTCCCCGAAGAACCACCAGCTCCCTCGACCGACGAAGCAGTCCAGCAAGCGACAGAGCCTGTACCCATTACTCCAGCAAACCCCGAAGAGCCCAAGTCGGAAGTTACAGCTGGGCCTGCCACGCCAGAGGTTCCAGCTCGGCCTAGCACAGCTGACGGCGCCGAACAAGCCAAGAACACTCCCGTCGAAGAAAACCGCCGAGCCTCTGGGATCGAAGGGCAATCGGCAGGTTCAGGCTGGGGTTCCGGCCTGTGGGGTGCTATTGGATGGGGCAAGAAGAAGGCCCCGCCGCCGCCAACATCCGAGCCTCCGTCTTCTCCGAAGCCCCAATCTGCCGTCCTCGCCGCACTAGCTGCAGCCAGAGAAGAGGCCAAGCGCAAGTCACAACCATCCTCGCCAACTGTGTCCGAGAGGAAGAGTTCCAAGTCCGAAAAGAGGCCTTCAATCTCCCGAGTGAAAACGCAGGATGAGACTTCAAAGCCGGAGCTGTTGCAGAAGATTGAGTCTAGGAGATCGTCTGTTCCTACACAGCGACCTACTGAGGCTACGACCCGCGAAATTGTCAAGGAAGAAGCCAGCTCCAGCGCTACACCTCCCACTGCGATCTTCACTGATGATGGCAAACCTTCTTTCGCATTCCCTCAGGCTTCCACGGCGCCTCAAGAACTATCTATCGAGACTCCCAAGGGGGGTCCTGTCATTGAAGAGAAGGCTACAAAGCAATCTGAGGATGCCACTCCATCTACAGCCTTCTTCACCGATGACGGCAAGCCGTCTTTCACGTTCCCACCAGTATCTACCAAGCCTGCAGCTGAGCCAACGACCAAGCCCGAAGAGGCACCTGTCTCCAAAGAGGAGAAGAGCCCTGCGTTTGTGTCCCCGCGTACCGCATTCTTCACCGACAACGGCAAACCATCGTTCACATTCCCGAAGATGTCACCCGCCCCCGCGGTTGAGTCAAGCGTCGCATCTAGAGAAGTTCCAGTCGCGAATGATACACCAGCTCCTGTTGATGTCTCGCCACGCAACGCTTTCTTCACGGATGATGGCAAGCCTTCGTTCTCGTTCCCTTCGATGCCATCTACGACTGCCGAGCAAGCTCCTTCGGTCGCAAAGGAAGTAGAGGTTGTGGAGGAGCAGAAGAAGCCAGCGTTTGTTGCGCCACCGAGCACTTTCTTCACTGATGATGGAAGACCTTCATTTGCATTCCCATCAGTGCCAAAGTCTACTGAGCAAACTGCCTCAACTGCCGTTGAAAACGCCCCTGCGAAGACACAAGAGCCAGCTGTGTGCATTGCACCTCAGACCAGCTTCTTCACCGACAATGGAAAGCCTTCGTTCACCTTCCCATCAGCGCCAGCACCGACCGAGCGCTCGGCAACGATCAGCAAAGACACCATCATTGAAGAGAAGCCCGCGGAGCAATTATCTCTTGGCCGAAGTGGTTTGTTCACTGATGCTGGGAAGCCCACCAGCACCATCGCTGACTTCACCCCGACTGAGTCTAGCGGTTCTGCTTATGACCGAATCTCGGTGGAACCTAGCTCGTCAAAGAAGAAGATCATCAAGACCAAGAAGGAGAAGAAGGCGAAGAAGAGCAGCGTACCGATTCCCGATTTTGATGAGCCTGCAGCCGATCTAGCCAAGTCTGTCGATGCTCCAGTTGACACTACGACAAAGGACCTGGGCGACCAGATGACCGCTGAGCCTGTTAAGCCTGACCCTGAAGCAGCCAAACCTGCTGAGGCTCCTTTGGAATCTGCGATCGAAGCTTGGGGCGAACAGCTAGTATCTGAGCCAACTCCTCTGACTGAAGAGCCGCCTATCGTTGATTCTGCCGAACGTACCGTCAAGCCCGAGCAACCAGTTACTACAGAGCCAATTACCATCGCCGAAGATGAAGTCACGTCACCTGTCAGCAAGAAGAAGGCCAAAAAGAGCAAAAGGAGCCAGAAGGCTGAACTCGAAAGCACTGAGGTCGAGACCGCAGCCCCAACGACTCCGACCCAACCTGCTGCTGAGCGTTCGCTGGATGCTCCTGCAAGCGAATCTGCACCTGTCACCGAGACTATTGCCGAACCGGTACCCGCAGAGGTCGTGCAAGAGAAGATCGTGCCCTCTAACACGGAGGCCGCAGAGCTTGTATCCGAGCTCGCACCGACTGTTGAAGAGCCTTCCCGTGAACAGCCCTCTCTGCCTCTCAATCTGGCCACACCGACAGAGCGTGAAGCACCAGTTGAGTCCTCGCCTTCGGTTCAAGACGACGCGCCAAAGACGAAGAAGAGCAAGAAGAGTAAGAAGAAGAGCGGTATCTCCACTCCTCAGGAGGAGCCTATGACTGCTACCGAGCCATCTTCTATTACAGCTTCTGAGTCTGTCGCCGATCAGCCGACTTCCGTTCCGGACGTAATTCAACCATCCGAGGTCGAGGCCGTTGACATTCCTCTGCCTGCTGAACAACCTGATGAAGATCTCACGCAGCCTCTCGAAGAGGCAGTCCCCCGAGATGTCCTTGCTGAGCAGGAGCCAATTCCCGAGCCCTCTTCCGCGCCTGTAGAAGCTGAGCTTCCTTCTACACCGAAGACCAAAAAGGGCAAGAAGAGCAAGCGGAAGAGCGGTACTGTGACACCCCAGCCTGAGGCCGAAGTTGTACCTGAGCAGACCGAGGCACCCCTCGAGACATCTGCCCCGATCAGCGAACCAGTCGCAACTCCAAGCGAAGTGGTTGACCGATCCCGCGACATCAAGCAACCTTCATCAGCTGAGCAAGTTTCCTCTGTCGAGACCTCCCTACCCCAGCAGAAGCCTGACGATGGAGCTGATGCCGCGACTGTCCCTCTCCCAATAGAGAGCTTCGATGAAGATCTCTCAACACCATTGGAGCAGCCGAAGTCTGTGGACGAAGTCACCCTTTATGTTGAACCGACAGTTGAGGATGCTCCATCAACACCCACTTCGAAGAAAGACAAGAAGAAGAAGGGGAAGAAGAGCAAGACTGTCGAGGCGCCTGTGGAGGAGGTTGTGGTTCAAGAGGAGGAGAGCAAGAGCAGGGAGACTGGTCAAGGTCAGGGACTCTTTGGTGCGGAGACACCAGTTCAAGAGAAAGATGTCGATGCGAAGGACTTGACCGCCGAAAAGACTGTAGCAGCTCTACCTCGAGAGCAGCTACAATCAGACATTGCGGAGCGTGTGAACGAGATTTCTGCGCCAGCTGAACCGACTCGACTTGAGCCCCTGTCTGAGGCTCCTATCGTCCCGACAGAAAATGCACCAATCGCCGAGCCAAGCCAGCCTGCGCATCTAGTGGTCGATGATGTTGCTGAAGCACCATCTTCTTCTAAGAAAGACAAGAAAAAGAAGAAGAGCAAGAAGGCGAAGGCCGAGGACGAAGCACCAACCACCCCGACCACCGATGTCCAGCGCGAAATAGAGCCTACTTTACAGACTCCTGAAGCTCAATCCGTTACCGAAGCTCTGCCTGAACAGCAACATCCCGAGCCTGTTCAAGAAGTATCGGTCGATGTTAGTCCGGAACCCAGCGCGGTTGCTGAAGACACTGCCAAGACTGTCAACAGGCAGATTCTCATGGACGTTCCAACTCCTGCCCGAGAAGCCCTAGTTGATGAGCCGATACGACCTGCCACGCCATTGGAGGAAGAGCCTTCGACGCCATCAAAGAAGTCTAAGAAGAAGAAGGCCAAGAAGGGTAAATCTGTCGAGATTGAACCCACTTCTGCAGATCTAGCCGATGTGCAGACGGAGTTCCAAGCTTCTATCGAAGCCGCTGGACCTGAATCGGAGTCAATTGAGGATACCGCACTCGCTGGATCTTCCAAGCCAATTCAAGAAGCTCAGGCCGAGACTGAAGCAATCGCAGCAGACCGAGCGATCGAAGTCGCGCCTGAGGTTCCTGCAGAGTCAGTCGCCGGAGCAGAGGCGGTGCCTCTTCCAGAGACGCCGGCCCGCGAGATCGATGAGCCCATCGCGGAGGTTTCTCAGCCTTCGGTGCCTGCCGAGAATGTTCCATCGAAGCCATTACAAGAGGCTTCAACCACCGAGGCAGAAGCAGTACCTCTTCCACAGACGCCAGCCCGAGAGATCGACGAGCCGATCGTGGATGATCTGCCAGCAACACCATCGAAGAAGAGCAAGAAGAAGAAGGCTAAGAAGGGCAAGTCACTTGACACCGAGCCAAGCACGCCTGTCACTGAAGTAACTTCCTCTCAAGCAGACCCGTTCGTGGAATCTGCTCAACCCGAGGTGCCCACAACTGAGACTATCCCATCGGTGCCAGTTGAGACTTCCAAGCCAGAGCGCGAGACTCCATCGGCTGAGCTTGTCGCTCTTCCCGAGACTGACGACAAGGATCTGGAAGAGCAGATAATAACCCAAGCTGAAGCCGCCAAGCCACAAGAAGAAGCATCACCAGCTGAGCTCGTAGCTCTTCCTGAAACCGACGACAAAGACCTCGACGAGCCTGCAATTCCCCAAGTCGAGGCTGCGGAGAACGTTACTGCTGTTCCTGAAGTCGTCACCGACATCTCTGATAAGGTGGATACTACACAGCCAGAGCGCAGCCAAGACCTCGACGTTCCTGTGGCTCCCGCTGAGCCTGTCGCCGAAGCCGAACCAGCTGAGCCAATCTCGAAGAAGAGCAAGAAGAAGAAGGGTAAGAAAGGCAAATCCATCGACATAACTGAGCCCAGCACACCGGTTACTGAGGAGCCAGCACCACAGTTCGACGTCCCTTCTGAGACTGTTCAAGAGGAGAAACGTATTGAGGATACTTTGCCGCCTTCGCAGGAAACGACTCGCACAGTTGTTGACATCGATGAGCCTGCACTCGCCCAGGAGAGCGTTACGGACGTTCCATTCGCGCAACAGAACATGCCTGTCGAGGAGATTTCGGTTGCGCCTACCCCTTCTAGTCAAACTATTGAGGACGAAGGCGCCGAACCTGTCTCGAAGAAGGGCAAAAAGAAGGCAAAGAAGGAGAAAGCCAACCAAGAGGCTGAAGTTGAACAAACCTCAGCAACTCCTTTGCCTGAACCTTCCACAGTGGATACTACTACCGATGCCAACCTTGACGTAGCTGCACCCAAGACTACTGAGCAACGCCAGACCGTGGAACCTTCAGAGATCGAGCCCAACGTTGTCGATGTCTCTTCCGAGAAACCAACCGACTCAGCTCCCAATGTTGCTACCACAACACCATCTCTCGAGACTACGGAGCGTTCACTCGACGACGTATCACCAACGGAGAGGACATTGCCCGAGACTTCACAAGTTCAAGATCAGGCTGAGGCCGAAGATGCTCCCAGTACGCCCAAGAAGAGCAAGAAGAAGAAGAAGGGGAAGAAGGGAGAGTTGGTCTCCGAACCTCAGACTCCCGTTATCGAGTCTGAGCCAGTCTTCCCGGAGACCACTGTTCAAGAAGCGCTTCCATCTACCGCTGCGACCACCGAAGAATCGGTTAGTCGGGATATTGCATCCGAGCCTACTGCCGATGTTCTACCTACGCCTGTCGAGACCTCTACTACTGAGCAAGACGTCCCTGCTCCTACAGAGCCAGCGCAGGTTGAGGAAGTGGTTCAGGCGATCGATCTTGAGCCAGCACGTGATGAACCTGTCCCAGAGCAAGCCACCGAGGAAGCGACACCACTCTCAAAGAAAGACAAGAAGAAGGCCAAGAAATCCAAGAAGGCTGAAGTTGAGAGTGAGATGCCTGAGGTATGTTCTGTGCCAGTCGAGACCGTCTCGAGGACCGTTGGTGAGTCGACTCGTGACGAACAAGTTCCGCCGACTGTCCAGGAGACACCCATCGAAGAGCCCGTCGTTGAGACGCAGATCGTTCCTGAGGCTACATCCCCAAGATCGATGCCAGTGGTCGCCGCAGGTCAAGACGATGTACTTCCAAGCATTCCCCTAGCTGAAGACGCCGCTGTCACCACTTCGACCGATATCGCGCCTGCAACTAGAGCGCAAGATGAAGTCACATTAGTCGAGAACGAAGACGTTGCGCCTGCGACTGAACAGCATGAGGAGGAGTCTGCTTCCAAGAAGAGCAAGAAGAAGGCCAAGAAAGCTAAGCGTGCTTCCATCGCCGAAGAGCCTACTGTTCCTTCTGTTTCTGAAGCGACAATCGAGGAGAAGGACACTATTCAACCTGAGCAAGCAGCGACTGTACCTGGACCTGCTGCGGCCTCGACACCTGTGCCTACCACCGTTTCTGATACCCTCCCTGAGACTGCCACAGCCGAGGGACTTTCTTTTGACACCAAGCCCGCGCTGGAAGTGTCTGTAGAGCGCGAAGCGACTGTCGATACCGCAACACCGTCCGTTCCTGAGGCCTCGGTTCGAGAGAAAGAGCAAGCGCCAGTCCCCAAGGAGCCAACAGTTGAGTCCAAGCCATCGGAGGAGATGCTGGCTGCCGATGCACCCGTGCCCGAGGTCACTGAGGAAGCCGCCGCTCCACTCTCGAAGAAGGATAAGAAGAAGGCAAAGAAGGCGAAGCGCGTTTCGATCGCCGAGGAGCCCACTTCTATCCCGTCAACGCCTGTCGAAGAGAAGACTGAGCCAGTGCTGGAAGAGCCTACATCTTCAGCTACAGAGGCACCCGCCTCGGAAGTCCCCGTTGTGGAAGAGGTGCCGAGCACTGTGTCCGACGTTGCCCAAGACACTTCATCTCAACCTACGCCTGCCGAACAGCTCATTGTTACACCCGAGCCCGCTTCTGAAGAACTCAGCCAAGTTGAGGCTGTGCCAGAGATTACCAGCCCAGTCTCGAAGAAGGATAAGAAGAATTCGAAGAAGTCAAAGCGCGAATCGACTGCTGAGGCGGAGGCGGAGATCCAAGTGGAGACACCAGCAGAAAAGTCATTAGAGCGCGCTCTTGACGACGCTGCTGACATTGCTGCTCCGGTTCCTGAGCAGCAGCCCGACGAAGCCACATCAACGAAGCCTACTGCAACTCCCGTGATTGCTGAGGAGCCGAGCAAGAGCGAAGTGCCTTCTGCCGTTCCAGTTGAAGAAGAGCGATTTCCCGCGACCACAGTTGTAGAAGAGCTCCCGTGTGAGGTAGTGACTTCCGAGCCAGTCTCTGCCACCGTTCCGACCGAGACTTCGGCAGAAGAGCCCGTAGCGACATCTTCGACCATCGATGAGCCAGCCACACCCTCCAAGAAAGACAAGAAGAAGGTGAAGAAGAGCAAGCGCGGATCAGTCGCAGAGGTCGAGCCATCTCTGCCTTCCACTCCCGTTGATGAACCCACTACAAAGCTTGCCGAAGCAGCCAAAGACATCTCCACTGTTGAACAAGAGCCTGTAGTGTCAGATGTCGAGCCGAAAGAGCAGTCAAACGTTGGTCCTACTGTTTCCGAGGATACTACAGCCCTCACTCCTGTTGTTGATCAGACGGTCACGGAACCTACGGAAGAAGAGGAGGTGTCGAAATCGAAGAAAGACAAGAAGAAGGCCAAGAAAGCCGCCAAGAACGCTGAGGCTGAGGCTTCTGAACCTATTCTCTCCGACAAGCCTTTGACCGAAGCAGCTCAAACTACTTTGATCGAGCAGCCTTCCTCGGTGGTGCCTGACACGACAACTACGACTATCGACGAGGCTCCGCGCACGGACGTTGACGATTCGATAGCCCCTGCTACAGTCGCCGCTGAGGACAACGAAGGCAAAGAGTCAGCTACCAGCCGCGATGTGAACGACTCTACCAAGAACGAACAACTTAGCATTGCGCCTGCAGCTGACAACGCGGTTGAGACTGCCACTTCAGACGCACAGACGATTCCCAGCACCACTGCTACCTCTACAGACGTCCAGCCGGACGACGAGCAAGAACCAGAGGAATGGGCTGGGCTATCGAAGTCGCAAAAGAAGAAGCTGAAGAAAGCCAAACGCGCATCCGTTGCTGAGGTAGAACCATCCCGGCCAGCCACACCTGCAGAGAATTTGTCAAAGGTTCTTTCTGCCGAGCCTCAGTCATCTGTTCCCGAAGTGGTTCAGGAGCCCACTACTGAGCAATTGCCCCAAGCGGATGAACTCCGTGCTCTGCCAGTCGCGGAACCTATCAGCGAGGGGAAGCAGGCTGAAGCATACCTCGAGCAGCCCACCGCAACTTCGGAGCCAACAACCACCTCAACCCCAGCTGAAGACCCTGCACCAACCACTGCTACACCAGACCCGTCACCAGGCGATCCCAAGCCGCCAGACAAAGAGCTCGAAGCGCCTTCGTCCCCTTCCTCCTCCAAGAAGGACAAGAAGAAGGCCAAGAAGCAAGCTAAGAAGGCAACACCTGCGGAGCCTTTTTTAGTAGATGAGACGCCTGAGGCAGCCAACTCTGATACTCAGCCGTCTCTGTCGATTCCTACACTTTCGGAGACCCAACTACCTTTCTCGGGGATACCGACACAATATCCCCCCCAATCTTTTACGAATAATGAGCTTGTTGATGATTTTGATGATAAGAAGGAGGCGAAGATTGATGATGCGAGGGAGGAGAGGGAACATGAGGAGGAGAAGAAGGATGAGGAAAAGGAGGATGTTCACAGGGAGGTCGTGGAGATGAGAGATGAGGAAGAACAGAAGAAGAAGGTGGAGGAGATCGTTGCCGAGGCTGATCAGCGTGGAGAGCCTTCGGTCGTAGTTGGAGAATTCCCGGAGCAGAATGCCACAGAGGCTATCGCTATTGAGGAGAAGTCAGTGGGAGTTGAACAGCCTTTCGAGTCGACCGCGCCGCAAGAGCCCATAACTGCCGTTACAGACGTTACCGAGAAGGACATCAAGGAGCAAGCACCTATCATGGAAGACCACGCTTCTGAGACAATCATTCCAGTCGATTTCGCCCTTGCTGAGCCATCTGTGGCTCTGGAAGCCGACTCAGCGCCCACACTGGAAGACCCAATTCCGGTAGAGACGCCCCAAGAATCCACACCTACTCCGATGGTCGTTGAAGAGGATCAACCGACCGCTCTGCCGCAACAAGACGAGCTCAATGAAGTTGTGGAGGAAGCTTTTCAGACACCAGTGGCACAACCGACCCGTTCACTCGGCGAAGCTGGTGACGACTTGGCCACCCCTTCTAAGAAGAGAAAGAAGAACAAGAAGGGGAAACGTGCGTCCACAGTAGAGGAGCAAGAGCAAGCCATCAGCGTTTCTGAGCCTGAGCGCGATGCTGCGGACAAGCCAAGTGAAGACATTGCGGTTGCAGAACCCAAGGAACCAGTGGCTTCTGCAATTGAGGCTGTCAAGCCCCTAGAGGATGTCGCAATCGTTCGAGACATTGAGGTTGCGCGTCCTTCCGAGCCTCAAGCGGATACAACGCCTGTCGTCGAAGAAGCCGCCCTGCCCAAGGACAAACACGCTACGTCTGATGTCCAGGAGCCTGTACCCGTTCCGATCGCGACAGAAGAGCGCGAGGACACGACCACGCAGCCTGAGACCGCCACGTCTTTGCCTGAAGTGGGTGAAGAAACGACTAAGGCAGAGGCTTTGTCCCAAGACGTTGAACGTACGGTCGAAAACATCGAAGAGCCCGCCATTGTCGTTCGGGAAGTGGAGCAAGTTCCAACGCCGACAATCGAGGAGCCGACCTTTTCAAAGAAGAGCAAGAAGAAGAGCAAGAAGGCCAAGCAGGCGTCGTCTATCGAGACCGTTCCTGAAGTTCAGTCTTCCCAACCAGAGGAGCTGCCATCCGTTCAGCTCGAACCAACCCCGCTGGCGTCTGAGCCAATCAACGAGTCGGAAGTGTCACGTGAGTTCACGGTTCCTGAGCAGGTCGAGGATGTTCAACCAGCATTTCCGACAACAGACGACAAGACTACCGGCCCAGAAGAGTCGATCTCGAAGCCTGTCGAAGAGACGCAGCAACCTTCGCTACCAAGCATCAAACGTGACGCGCCCGCTGAGGTTCCAGAAATCGTATCCGAGCCTCCAAGGACAACACAGCTTGAGCCAACAACTTCTGATGCCCTTCAACCGCCCACGGAAGAGCTTCCCGTACCTTCGCTCTCGAAGAAAGACAAGAAGAAGAGCAAGAAGGCCAAGAAACAGTCTCAAGCGGAAGAAGTAGTGGAGGAGACCACTCCTGATGTACCTCGAGATGTATCTCGAGATGTTACTACGGAGGCCGCGCCCACTTCGGTCATTGGAGAAGTTGCCGAGGCGATCGTCGAGCCAATTGCTGAGCCGGTCGTGGAATTGGTGGCCGAGCGAGCCATTGAATCAGCCACCGAGACAACGCCGGTCATTGAGTCCACACCAGTTGAAGATGCATCCGCACCAAAGCCTGAGGACATGTCGTTCGTTCCAGAGACTACCGTCAACGAGCCGACAACGTCTGACGATGCACCAGCGCCTACCACCGAAGACATCCGCGAGTTCCCAGAGCGTACGGAATCAAAGCTTCAACCAGAAGTGATCTCCAAGCCTGTAGAAGACGCCGCTCAGGTACCGCTGCCTGAAGATCCCATCATCAGCCCACCAGCCCAGACAGTCCGGGAGGAGTTCGTTGGCCCAATCCAGCCTGAGACCACATCAGATGCCCAAGACGAGCAACTTCCGACCCCAATCGTAGAGCTAGAGGCTCCACTCGAGATCGCTAATGCCGCACCGTTGTCCAAGAAGGACAAGAAGAAGGCCAAGAAGGCGAAATCGAAGGCTTCCGACACTGTCACGGCTGTCGATGAAGTCGCGGTACAGCCCGAGGTCGAGAATGTCCAAGATGTCGGCGCTAGCAGCAATGAGCCAGCACCTCAAGATGTGCCACTTTCTTTGCGTCAGGAAGCTACTGTGGTTGAGACAGTTGTCCCTATGAATGACCAAGAGCCTTTACTGGACGACCGCGCACTTTCCATGCCCCCAACGGAGGAGACCAAGGAAGAAACCGAGAAGTCCGATCTTACACCGCCTCTCGTGGACGCTATTTCAACGCCCTTGCCTGATACTGCTCAAGAGCCTATCATTGAACGATCGATCGAAGAGGTATCAGCCATCGATGCGCCAGTCACTGCGGCGCAAGAGACTCCTGTTACACAGGAAATCGCAACCGAGAATCAAATCGAGGAGACAGTCAGCCAAAATGTGCCAGACACCACTGTCACTCCAGAGATCGTTGAAGAGCGATCTTCTGATGTACCAACGACGGACGTTGAGCCTCAAGTCGAGGAGCCAGCATCCCCATCGGTCTCCAAGAAGAAGAGTAAGAAGAAGGGCAAGAAGTCAGATGTCGTAACGCCGGCTCCCGAAGCCTTGCCTACAGCAGACTCCGACAACGTTACTTCTACGATTGAGGATATCGCGTTGCCTACAGCCGAAGTACAAGACACCATCGCATCAATTCCAGATGAGCAGCCGAAGGTCGAGGCTCCGATTCAACCAGAGATTACCGTACTGCCAGAGACTGTCAGTGAAGTACCTGCCACCGAGACTGCACCTCCAGTCAACGAACCAGTTTCGGTACCAGAGACGACCGTCGTCGAGGAAGTCAAGAATGAGACCGTTACGCAGGAGCCCGTTCTTGAGCGTAAGCTGAGCAAGAAGGAGAGGAAGAAGGCCCAGAAGCAGGCCGCTGCTCAGGTCGAGGAATCCATCGTTGAGGGGGAGCGAGTCGTGGAACCAGCCACGGAGCCAGCCACTGAACCCACTATCGAGCCTGTTGCCGAGTCTACCGTCGAGCCTACTGTCAAGCCAGCGACGGTAGAACCAGCGCCTGCACTCGATACCACTACGGTTGAGCGTGTTCAAGAGACTGACCCAGTGGTACATGAGCCTGCTGTTGAGTTTTCATCTTCACGTGAGGTACCCGAATCGACGATCGAGACTTTGCCTCAAGAAGCAACAGTGGAGGACACATTTGTTTCCACTCCAAAGAAGAGCAAGAAAGCGAAGAAGGACAAGAAGAGCAAGACGCAACCTGCTGTTTCTGATCTCCCCGAGGAGCCTGTCAAAGAAACATCGATTCTTCCTGAGCAAGTACAAGCAACGGAAACGTTCGAGACTGAGCCCGCCGCCACCAAACGACTACAGCCTATCAACCTACAGGATCAGGACACAACGATCCCAGAGACTGAGCCAATGACTTCGACGACCGCTCAGATCGAGGAGACGACAACGGAGTCTGTGAAGACGGAAGAGCCTGTTGTCCATGCCAACATTACTCCCGAAGTGATCGAACAGCCTCAACAGCCGGCTTTCTCACAAGATATGGACGTCGACAAGCTACCAGGAGATGTCCCAACAGGCACCACTGACGTCCAGGATCGTTCTGTCCCCGAAGCTGATGTGGCCTTTCTCGCTGTCGCACCACCGGTCTTTGAAGAGTTCCAGCAACAGCCCACTCGAGAGCTAATGCCAGACGCCTCAGTCGAAGCGTCAGCGGAGTCAACTACCGTAGTCGAGGAGGCCAAGAGCGTCCCAGAAGCACAATCCGAGAGCATTGAAGCCCAGCCATTCATCCTTGAACCGACCATTCCGGAGGTACCTGTTGCATCATCTCCAATCGCTAGAGAGCTGCCATCGGAGGAGCCATCGGAGCCTACAACGGGAACAACTGACTTGCGCGACGAGCAAACACTGTTTGAGCCTGTGGAAGAAAGTTCCCTTTCCCGCTCAATGTCGAAGAAGGCGAAGAAGGCCAAAAAGGACCGGAAGTCTCTTGCTGACAGCGAGCTTTCTGGACCCGCTACGACTGCCAGTGAAGCCCCTTCAGAAATTGTCACCGAGACACCCATTGAGCAAGTCATCCCTCAGCCAACTACCACCGAGACCACGAAGGAGTTGGTACAATCTCCCACGCCAGCAGAAGAGAGTGCGCCGGTAATCCCAATAGTCGAGGAGACCCCAGTACCTGCCGTCGCCGAAGCTACTCCAGAAGACGACTACCGGAGCCTTGAGGAGCAGCAGCCTATCGAGCCTATCGAGTCCACCACGACGCACGAAGAAGCTCGTCAAGTCACGCATGACGACTCTGTTCTAGCAAACGAGCCCTCCCCCTCTCTCAGGGCGATCCAAGATGAAGCTGCCGATCTGCGACTCCGTGCAGAAGCACTCGATGCTGAGCTCGCCACACAAAACGACGCTGATGAGCCCTCCATCATCGAGCCCGCTTCCATGTTCGCTATCGTCAAAAAGCTCACGAAGAAGGACAAGAAAAAGGCGAGAAAGAGCAAAGGCGACACTGACGCTATGCCGACGACTCCTGCGGCCGAACCTGAGGCTGCGGTTGAGACGAAGGAAGTCGTCGAGACGCCCGCATTCGTGTCTGCGCCGATCTTGGCAGAAGAGCAAGTTGTCGACAAGGGAGAAGTTGTCGAAACACCCTCGCTGACAGAAGATACCATTGCGACCGATGGGCCTTCTCGCAAACTGAGCAAGAAGGAGAAGAAAAAGAAGGGCAAGCAGCCTGCAGTCGATCCAGTCGAATCTTCCGAGACAGCATCGCCGTCGAGCGCGCCGATCGTTGAGTACCCAGAGCCAATCGCCGAGCAGCCAACAGAGTCACCATCAGTCGTCACTGAGCCTTCAGCAGACACTGTCACGCCAGAGAAAACTCACCAGGCTTCCCGTTCCATCGATACTGAGCGAGTAGTACTTGATGAGCCAGCTGCAGCCGACATCCCGGCCCCATCTACCGTTACCCAAGATCTTCAAGAAACACTTGTGGAAGAGGAACTACTCCCGTCAAGGAAGTTCAGCAAGAAAGAAAAGAAAAGGGCTAAGCAAGCTGCCGCGCTAGAGGATGCAACATCTTCTCTATCTGAGGATGTTCCGTTCTCTACTTCGACTGAGTCTCGGGAAGTAGCTTTGCCTGACTATGAGGTAGCTACGTCAGTGCCAGCACCTCCCAGTGAGGGTTTCCCTGCGACGAGTGTCGAGGCTTCCAAAGAGGCAGCTGTTAAGGAAGTTCCGGCTATGACGCCGAGCCAACGTGAGGTGGAGACACAGATCGATACCTCAATCGTTACACCAGCAGAGGCAACCACGGACAGTCTACCACCACCAGTCGTCGAGCAACAAGAGCCAATTCTTGAGGAGCCATCCATTCCATCTCCTAAGCTGGGCAAGAAGGGCAAAAAGAGAGCCAAGCAGGATACACTCCCCGCGCAGGAACCCGAGGCGCCCGTTACGGTAGACGCACCGTTGCCCGAGACCAGTGAGCCCATCGTTACGGAGATACCGCACACAACCCAAGAGGTGTCCAGGGACACTTTCTCTCATAGACCAGCGACCGTTGAACTTCCAATCGCGACCGACTTCATGGAAGAAGCACTTCGGTCAGAGGCATCTACTGTGCCACGATTTGACCCAGAGCCAGAGGTTAAAGTCACCGAAGTGCAGCCCCAACCGACTCCCATCGACCTTGCCATCAAGACTTCCATTACGGAAAGCACCGAGCAGCCTCGCGAATTCCCTGTTGTGCGTGAATCAGAACCAGAGTCTGCGATTGCTCCGACTCTCGTACGCAAAGAGAGTAAGAAAGACAAGAAGGGCAAGAAGCAAGACGTGGTTGCTAAACAGCCTGTCACATCGAGAACCGACGATGTAGTGGTCTCTGAAGACGTCCGAACTGAAGAGCAGCCTGTTGACTTGTCAAAGCCCATGGACCAGCAAGTCACGGTTCCCATGGACATCCTAACTGAGCCCACACAAGACACGTCAATCGCGCCAGTCCTGGAGAAGCAGCCCCAAGAGATCATTCCGCCAAGGAATCTTTCAGAAGAGCGTGTGACCGTTGACGCTCCAGCGACGGAAGCCACCCCCGAGGCCGAGACGACTCCCACGAAGAGTAAGAAGCAAAAGCGCAAGTCAAAGTCTCCGAGGACTTCAAGAGAGCCCGCTAGCGTTGCGCCCATCGTCCCCGTCGAGGAGACCGCCCCTGAACCGACTATTGCGCGTCAGATTGTGTACGACAACCGTCAAGATACGATCCGAGAACGCAGCCTTTCTCCCAGGAAAAGACCTACAACACCGTCAACGCCCGGGTCGCCAGTAATTGGAGCAATTCTCAGCCAGCCGAAGAGGGAACACGTCAGGTCCATGTCCAACGTCTCTATCCCTGATCTCCATGTCAGAGCCAGCGAATCCGATAGCACTACTCAGCACCCTTTGTTGCACAAGAAGTCATCCAAGAAACACAAGTTGGCAGCTTTGTTTGAGCGCGGTAAATCACCTGATGGTCCCCCTGCGGAACGAGGTCTGCGAAAAGAAGGATCTGGCAGTGTCAGAAACCTCGCCGAGCAATACGAGAGTCAATCACGATCTGTCACGCCAATTCTACCTCCGTCTCCCGAGAAGCGTTACCTGTCTCGATCTCCATCGCCTGAGAAGCGTCAGCTCCATTCTCGAGTTGCATCTCGTAGTCAACTTGGCTTGGCATCACCAGTGCGATCAGATTCGAAGTCACCCGCCAGAGACATAGACTTCGCAGCTACTGTCGCCGCCAGTTTGCAAGAGTCTGGTTTCGATCCTGGATACGTCATCAACGACAGAGCTTTCCATCGCTCGAACTCCCTATCAGGAGCTCGCGATATCACGCCTGATGATGATATTGCCGCTGCAAAGGAAAGAGCCGGCAGATCACGACTCGGTAGCTTGAGTCGCTCATCATCGGTCTCCGGCTCGCCAAAACTACGACCACTTCAGCCTAGCGGACCCGATGTTCTGCCACCCATCGAAGTAGCAATGGCAACGACTGACACTGCTTCGTTCGACCCACTGGATGTGCTCAACGACCCCGCTTTTGCAACGCGAAAGTCGCCTCCTGGTGTTCTTGAAGAAGCTGACCCTGATGAGTTGGCCGGGTCGTCAAGTCTGAGAAGGAACAAGAGCAAGAAGAAGCGTCATCCGATACCAGAAGCTCCAGTGGAATCTGAACACATTCGTGAAGAAGCAGACGCTTCAGTTGCACCGATTGTTCGAGGCAAGAAGTCAAAGAAAGACGAAGAAGGAGCTCCACGTCTGCAAGACCGTGTTGAGTATGCAGCTTCAGAGACTCCGGCGATCGAGGCTCATCGAGATGTGCCTCTCGCTGTTGAGACTCCAGCTGACTCCACAGTCCGCGGAAGTGAGCCTGCTCAGTCCGTGCCTCGCGCGCCAACCTCCACCGATGTCCTTCCGGAGGTGCCAACGCAAACAACAGGTTTGGAGGCCAAGTCTATCGACGTCAAAGAGGAAGATTCAAACAGACAAGACACGATGACGAGGAAGGAGAGGCCCAGGAAGTCAGCGAAAGACGCCAAACCTGCAACCACTGAGGATGTGCCCGTACTGCCCGTGACATTCGATCAGGAAGCCCGTTCACTGACCGCTGGAGAGCCGAAGGAATATCCATTTCCACAGGTGACGCAAGAGAAGGAAATCGAGAGGAAGAAGGAGGAGACGCGCAGGCGAGAGTTGGAAAAAGAGAGGGATATGGATGCATGGGCTCCATCGCCAAAAATGAAGAGCAAAAAGAGCAGGAAGACTGAAGAGAGGGTTGAGGGGAAGTCGAGCACCGCGCCGAGGGACGCACCACCAGCCGATACACGAGCTGCCGTTCCTGAAGCTCACAAGCGCAGGACACATCCTGTATCCTTTGACGATGAGCAACCGGACGAGAAGCGCTTACATACGTTGGAGTCCACTCAAGAGCCTCAGTTCACTACTGAGCGAACAGCGTCGCCAGCGCATGTCGTCGCATCAGAGCGCTCACGCACCGACAAGCGCTCCAAGGAAGCCAAACCATCAACACATGGTGCAGCACCAGCCAACGAGCCATCATGGTCATTCGCCGAAGTTCGAGACGACAGCGGTCAGGAGCCCGCCACTGCACAGTCAGCACAGTCAGTCGAGAAGGCAACACGTACGCTGAGGCGGTCGAAGGAACCGAAGACTCCTCTGAGTGCATCAAAACGCTCAACTGCAACTGACCAAGATGCCGAAGACAGCCCTGCTTTGCCAACACACCCAGTGGTTTCTGGCGCGACAACCCCAGGCACCGAATTTGCAACGAAGGAGCGAACCTCGTATCTTTTCGATTCCTCGCCATCGACACGCGCCTATGGCACTTCACCAGCAGTTGGGCCGCAAACACCCGCTCATGATACTCAGAGAGTTGATGATACTCCGTCAAAAGACAAAGGCAAGAAACCACGCACAGAGTCGCAGCACGGTCGAACATCGCCTACGAAGGAGATTGTACAGAAGGAGTCATACCAATCCTTGTTTGGAGATCCAAATGAGAAGAAGGGTGAGACCCTTTCCACGCCTGTCGCGAAGTCCGAACGCACACCAGGCACCAAGCAACTCGAGTCCATTGAAGAAGTCAGCCCGGATGACACCAAGCACAAGAAATCACGATCCATCGCTGATGTCGGCGCGCCAGAGCGAGGACTCAAGTCAGCTCGTCGCACCGAGAGTCTCAGGCAACTTTCTGATCGTCTGAGATCACCTCCGCCCAGCACGCCAACACCCACTGGTCGTCGAAGTGTGGCATCCATGGCAGAAAACTCAGGTGGAAGAGACTCACCATGGTCGCAGGTCAACGACAGCGTTGACCGAACCATGACTCTCAGCCCCGCACGCCGCATGCCTCGCTCCTCTCCGAGCGCAGACCCGTTGAAGCAGTACATTGCTGAGCAACGGTCTCCCAGTGTTCAAAGTCAGCGTTCCCTGAGCAACATCGCGAGACTCAGGTCTCCGGATCAGGAGCGGCCTATGAGCTCTATGAGCAATATCAGCACACGTTCGGACCGGTCGTTGAGAAGAGTGGACCGGCAAACGTCAGGTGACCTCAGATCAGCCTCGAGGCTTGGCGAGGCCAGTGCGCAAGACGCTAAGAGCGCGCAACCCAATCTCTCCAGCACGGCGCTCGCGGCTGGAGCAGCAGCCATCGCAGGTATCGCCGCCCCACCGGTTTACGACCCAGTCCGGGGTACAGGTAGAGGTCGCCGTACCAGTATGGCCGAAACCTTTGTAAGTAGTTCGCAGTTGTTGCGCACGCCGCTTCTGATTACTGACTGTCTTTTGCAGGAAGCATGGGGTGAAGCCCAAAGGTCGCCTAGCTCGCCCTCACGTCCACCAAGCGTGCGCAAACGTCAAAGCATGCAGATCATGGACCTGCAGACGCAACTTGACCAGCTAGCTGCGCAAAACTCAGCTGTCGAGACCGCCAAAGCCAAGGCTGAGGAGGCTTTGCAAGCTGCACAACATCAGCGCCAAGTTGACGAGCAACTGGTACTTGAAGAAGTAGAAGCACGTGACCGTCAGATTCACCAAAGGGATATCGACATTGCGCAACTCAAGGATACGCTTCAACGACTACAAGAAGAGATTGCGCGCCTGAATCAACTCAACAACGCACTAACAGACGCCAATCGCAACCTGACCAACGATGCCAATGAACGATATGGTCAACTCCAGTCCGAGGGACAAATGGTGCATGAGCAATGGCAGGCATCGCAACGAGAGCTAGAGAGCCTCCGCAGTCAATACGCTCAGCTTCAGGCTGAAGGCCAGGCAATGCAACAGCAATGGCAAACATCACAACGAGACTTGGAGGAACTTCGCCGCCAGCATACTCAGATGCAGCGAGGTCTCGCAGATGCAGTCCGCGATGAAGTTGGCGAAGCACTCGATGAGCGCAATGCCGAAATCGACCGTTTGACCGCAGAGCTTGCGACTGCACGCGAACAGATTAAGAACCTTCAAAAGCAGATCTTGGCTTCGAAGAAGCCTAGTGAGAGCTTCCTCACTGTTCGCGATGAGGACTACTTTGACAGCGCCTGTCAACAACTGTGTCAACATGTCCAGCAGTGGGTGCTGCGCTTCTCCAAGTTCTCTGATACTCGCGCATGCCGCCTTTCATCAGAGGTCGCAGCTGATACACGACTAGATGCATCAACGCGTCAGAAAATCGACACTCGCCTTGACAATGCCATTCTCGATGGCTCAGATGTCGATTCACTCTTAGCGGACCGTGTCAAGCGCCGAGACGTCTTCATGTCCGTGGTTATGACCATGATCTGGGAGTACGTCTTCACCAGGTACCTATTCGGTATGGACCGAGAACAGCGCCAGAAACTCAAGGCGCTGGAGAAGACGCTTTCAGAAGTCGGCCCACCACGCGCTGTGGCACAATGGCGAGCTATCACACTTACCCTTCTTGCGAGAAGAGAGCCTTTTATGCAGCAGCGCGCTCAGGACACTGAAGCTGTGGTGCACGAAATCTACAGCACACTCTCGACACTTCTTCCGCCACCATCGCATCTGCAGCGCCAGATCCAGGAGTCGTTGCGCAACGTGATGCGCTTGGCAGTGGAGCTATCAATTGAGATGCGCACGCAACGCGCAGAATACATCATGCTGCCGCCGCTACAACCCGAGTACGATACCAAGGGCGATCTCGTCGCCAAGGTTACTTTCAACGCCTCTTTAATGAACGAACGGTCAGGCGAGACGACGTCGAACGACGAACTCCAAGCCCGTGGGTCGGTGGTCAAGATTGTACTGTTCCCCCTAGTCGTCAAGAAGGGCGATGACTTCGGCGAAGGCGAGGACGAGATTGTCGTCTGCCCAGCCCAGGTCCTGGTCGCCGGAACCAAGAGCAGGAAGGTAGTGAGGGTCATGAGTGGAGCGATGTCGATCAATCGTCCCGACTCACGAGCAAGTCGCATCAGTCGGGTAACGAGCGTCGCGCCCCCTGAGAGCACGATCATGGACTACGAGCAACCTGGCAGCAACATGATCTAGATGGACGGCCGATTGGATGTTTTTCTTATTTTACCTTGATAGCGTGGGCGGGTTTTGTGTTTGGCGTTTCGGATATCATTTTACCACTTTACGAGATTTCCTTTGTTCTAGTATTAGCAGTATTTACATAGCATCACATGGAGCGCGTTTAGCACGATTGTATATTAGTCACGACAGCACGAAAGCTGTAAACAATAATCATTTTACGATCTTCACAATAATCCCTTTCAATCCCTGAATCCCTTCGGATCTCTTGGCAAATCTCATTTGCACATGGCGACAGGGAAATCGCGATAGACAGCGCCAGATCCTCGGTTGTGGGCTCCATGAGGATTGCGCCAGCCTCGTTTTGGGGCGACCCCGCTCTGTCCCTGGTGGGCGTGGCACAGCTGCACGACGAAGGAGTACCACAGCCGGTCCGTTTAAAGAGTCGCGACGCGCGAAATGTAAACGCTATCCGCTTGTGCTAGTTGCGGCTTCACACGCGCTATCCCGACCACTCTTCCCGACATTCAACCACCCAAGAAACCTTCGCGATGCCGATTCGAAGCGACTGGACCCTTGCGCGCGAAGGTAAGCACCGAGCCATTGCCGCCCCCAACCATCACAATGGCAATAGTATCGCGTAGAACGCTCTTCTGACCACGTGAACAGGCGTGACTGGCGATACTATCAGCCGCCTCATCAGGTACACGGCCTTCAACCCTGCCCTCACGCTGCCCCTCATCCTCCTTGCGCGCTACACACACCAAGGCAACGCCCTTGCCGAAGACCATGCCACAGCATTCAAGGGCTTGAAGACGCTGCTGGGCTTGGGTGCGCTGAGTACCGTCAACGCCTGGCTCAACAGCGGCGTGACCAACAACTGGAGCGGCGATGCCTATGTCTGGAGTCGCGAGGTTGTCGTTGTAACCGGAGGCAGCGATGGCATTGGCAAGATCGTGGTCCAGCTGCTCGCCGAGAAGGGTATCAAGGTCGCGGTTCTGGACGTCCAGGACTTGACGTATGAGGGTATGTCTGCCATTGAGCCTTAGTTTCATGGATGGGTTACTGACACTCACCAGCCCCATCATCTGTCCGCTTCTTCAAGTGCGACCTCACCGATCCCGAGGCCATCGCCTCCGCCGCCTCATCCATCCGCTCCACGCTCGGTAGCCCCACGGTCCTGATCAACAACGCCGGAGTCGCACGCGGCAAGACCATCCTCGAGTCGACAGAGAAGGACATCAACCTCACCTTCAAGGTCAACGCCTTCAGCCACTACTACCTTACACAGCAATTCCTGCCCGCCATGATCGCCGCGAACCACGGCATGATCGTGACCGTCGCCTCCGTAGCCGGCTACCTGTCCGCGCCCTCCATGGTCGACTACGCGTCCTCCAAAGCCGCCGCCCTCTCCTTCCACGAAGGCCTCGCCGCCGAACTCACCGCCCGCTACAATGCACCCAAGATAAGGACTGTGCTCATGGCCCAGAGCTACACCCGCACGGCGCTGTTTGAAGGCTTCGATTCTAAGGGCGTTCTTTACCCGGAGACGGTTGCGGAGAGCATTGTTAAGGCTGTGCTAAGCGGCAAGAGTCAGCATGTTGTTCTGCCGGAAACTAGTGGGCTGTTCATTCCAGCGATAAGGAACTGGCCGTACTGGATGCAGTATGGGCTGAGGAAGAGGCTGGGTAAGCTTATGGCGGGGTGGAAGGGCAGGCAGGTTGTTCAGCCTAGTTTGGTGGGGGAGGAGAAGAGGGTCGAGGATAGCACTGTGCTTGTTAATAAGGAGTAGGAGTGTGATTGGTTTGTGGAAATGTGTGGTACTGTCCGCAGTTTGCACATGACCTTCCTTGACGTGTGTTGGGGTTGTAGATGCTGAGCTGTTCATATTTCTTTTGATGTGTTACATAATCTTGCAGTATACCTTTCATATAATTGAGCGATATCACCAGCGCATACTCAATTGAAGTAAACTGACTCTGGCTACGAATGGTCTCAAGATAAGCATAGCTCTCAGGGATGTGAGTTGATATAGAAGTGGACTGTCAAGGAATGACGTAAGCGTACACGTGGTATGCATCGAAATCGTAAGATGGCAAGTGTATATTACAAAGCCTCCTGATACCCATCTCGAAATCCTGGTTACTTTGCCATTTCCAAATCTTCCAAATCGTCGTACGACACATGGCCCATCTAACACGAAAAGAAGTCCTCAAGTCGGGTGAGGTATCCGAAATATACAGAAAGGTACAGTGGCTTCATAAGACACTTGCGATAACCCATTGTCGCCATCTCCTCCACCGTCCCACCTACTCCTGAACAACCAATTCTCAGCTCACACCAACCCCAGGCCTTCACAGCCCGCCCATTCCAAACAACAGGCCCAGACTTCTTCGCCCACCGCGCCTCCCGCGCAGCCCATCTCTCGCAGCTCCGCCACCTCTACCCCATTCCTGGCCCCATTCCAGAGCACGTGACAGAAAGCCTCCACGACGTGCCCACCCGAGATGGAGCCTCCATCCGCGTCAAAGTGTACCAGCCTGTTGCGGGTCCGCCGAAGGACGGCAGCCCACTGATTATGATGTACCACGAAGGAGGCTGGAGTATGGGTGATTTGACGGATGAAGATATGAATTGTCGGATGTTTACGAGGGAGTTGGGGGCTGTGTGTGTTAACGTTGAGTATCGGTAAGATGATTTTATTGTTTGTGTTCCAGGTTTTCCTTATCCTTCTTTACACGCCAACCTAGGAAAAAGCTGAACAGCCTAGAGCCTGGAGCCTACGTTAACGTTGGGTCACCTACTTTGCAAGGTCTTAGCTTAATGTAGCCTGCAGACCTGTTTAGTTTTTTTCTTGTATAAGGTGTTTACGTTATCGTTCCGTCTTCGTATACTTCAACTTCTTTTCCCAAGACACATTTACTCACGTACCACCACAGTCTAGCACCCGAGCACAAATTCCCAACCGGCATCCACGACTGCCACGACGCCCTCCTCTGGGCCATCAACAACAGCGACTCACTCAACGCAACACCCACCCGCGGCCTCCTTGTAGGCGGCGCCTCAGCCGGCGGCAACATCGCCGCCGTCCTTGCCCTTCTCGCCCGAGATACAGCATTAACTCCACCCATAACAGGCCAGTACCTCTGCGTTCCCGCACTCCTCCCTCACACAAACGTTCCTACCCACCTCCTTCCCCTCTACCAATCCCGCACTTCTAACACATCCGACCCCGTCCTCAAAGATATGGCACCAGGATTCATCGAATCCATCTACGAACCCCAGGAAAAGTCCCCGTTATGGGACCCGTTCAACCACCCAAATGGACATGTGGGCGTTGCAAAAGCGTTTTTCCAGGTTGGCGGCTTGGATCCGTTGAGGGATGAGGCGGTGCTCTATGACAGGAAACTGCGGGAGAATGGGGTGTTGACGCGGTTCGAGCTGTACAAAGGGTTTGGACATATGTTTTGGACGAATTATCCGGAGTTGGAGGAGAGTAGGGAGTTTAGCAGGGATACGTTGGAGGGGGTTAGGTGGTTGTTGGAGAGGTAGGTGGGTGTTGGGGTTGTGCATGATTAATTTCATGTGAATATGATACACTATGAGCATATCAACCTACATGTCTCCTCATACACACACGCACCCCCGAGCATCTCGCAATTCAGCGATACCGACCAGTAGCATCACCCCACTGGTACCCGTTCCTCCAACCCCACTGCCATCTTCTCTCATTCCAATACCCCTGCATCCCAGGTGGATTACCCATATGCCTCCAGTGTCCCCAGTTGAAGTGCCCGTGAGGCACTTGAGCGAGGTTGTCTGCTGTGATGCGATCTAGGCGGCGGTAGTCGGCCCAACGGACGCCTCGACCTGTCATACTGGGAATGATGCGAGGGTGGGTTGCTGTGTAATTAGTTTGCTTATAAGGTTGTGGGTTACTTAATTAATCTGGTCAGGCGGCTTGGTGGGAGTAGTATAGTTAGAGGATCGAGGAAAAAGACTTCCCGGGTAGGCATATAATGGAGGAATGTGCTGGCATGAGTGTTAGATTGGGACTTGAAGGATGTGATGCGTGGCTTCGGCGATGAAGAGATATGAAGATTCGACAGGGAAAATATTGTACAGGCTTCACGCCCATGTAGTTGCTAAGGCAATAGCAGCAGATACAGTAGAACAATTCAAACAGTACGTGGTCCGGGAATAGCACTCTGGAATGTGAAAGCTTGTATTGGGTACGGAAATACACTGTGGGTATAAAGCCATGCTAATGACGACCGTGAACCTATAAGAAAGCCTTTGCTATCGCGAGCGTCGAATAAAGTTGTACGGAATGCATATGCCTGAGAAAGTGGAAAATGCCTGTAAAGAAACAAGACCCAGACTACGAACCACCCCTTGGACTGCCCGAGGGCGCCTTGTTGACCAGACTGGAGAAGAAAGATCTCAGCTTCTCGTTGTCGTTGATGTTGGTATCCTGCGTTTTGGGAGGTGGTGTTTCAGGCTCGTCTGATCGGTTGGCTTGACGGTCCTGGGATGAAGTTAGTAAATGTTCTACATCTCTTCGGGAATGATGAACGTGTGTTTGACGTACCTGTAGCCTCTTGACCATTTCATCGGCGTTGACTTGAATTCCACCCATGTTGAATTGTACAGGACCAATATGCTCTTCAACAACTCCCGATGCGTCGTCGGTATAAGTCCTAGAGATTGATGGGTCTTGCTCTTTGCGCGCAGCCTTCATGGCAGCTTCATTCTCATCCTCCCGCCGCAGATTCTCAAGCACGTTGACTTGATCGGCGAGGAAGGCCTGTGGATCTTTGCTTGATACTTCGAGCCCGTTGGCTTGTTTCGACAAGCTGGAAAGTGCGTAGTCTGACTCGGGGTTGCGAATCGTCTCTTCGTAAATTGAGGTCGCCGACGGGCCTTCCTCTTCCTCTTCCGCTGGCGCAACCTGTGTCTCTTCGCCGTTCGGTTGAGCTTCTCCGTCGACGGGTGCAGGTACTTGGCCGTTGGTG